GATTCTCGATTTGATACCGTGCGTCGTCAGCCACGGCAGGTCGACACGGTCATTGCAGGACGATGTATACGATTGCGCGATTGTGGACCAGGCTGAGACAGCGCAAAAGCTGCGCAGTATGGAACGCTTCAAGTACATCCCGATCGTGATGGTTGCCCCTGCGATCTCAGTCAGCTTCAAGACTGCGCTGGAGAACGGCATAGCCAGCTACATGACCATGCCATGCTTACCTATCGACCTGGGCAACGCCCTGATACCTGCCCTGGAGGGCCGCGCGGCACCGATTTCTGCGGACCACTCACGCACGTTCGATATCTTACTGGCTGAAGACAATGCCGTGAACCAAAAGCTGGCCGTCAAGATCTTAGCCAAGCACAATCATAAGGTGACGGTTGCGAACAACGGTCTCGAAGCCTTCGAATCAATTAAGAAGAAGCGCTTCGATGTTGTGCTCATGGACGTGCAAATGCCGGTGATGGGTGGCTTCGAGGCCACAGCCAAGATCCGAGAGTATGAGCAACAGCATGACCTAGCTCGGTCGCCAATCATTGCACTCACCGCCCACGCGATGCTTGGAGATCGCGAAAAGTGCATACAAGCTCAAATGGACGAATATCTTTCAAAGCCACTGAAGCCGAATCAGCTCGTTCAGACGATCCTGAAAGTTGCTACATTAGGCGGAGCACTACTGGAGCGGCGGAGTGATGGGCGCTTGGGCTTGGCAGAAGAGCTCGAGCGGGACGATGCATCAGACGGCAGCCGGCTGAACACGCCTAAATGACCTGGTATGGTTGACAGAGATTATACCGAAGGTGGACCCGCTGGGTTGGAGAAGGATCCTTTGCAGCGTGTAAGTCTCCAGCCCGCTCCTTGTCACATGCATCATGGCTGTTGGAAACCACAAGGAATGTTGTGGCTCGATTGCATGCTCTATCTACCGAGATATTAATGAGTGTCCTTGTATACTGTTCACATGCCTAGGCACCACTAGGCACCACCAGGCAACACCAGGCACCATAAGGCACAATTAGGCACCACTAGGCACCAATGCCATTTCCAACACATTTCATATGAGCGGATTCGTTATTCACAGAGCTCCATAAGTCAGAATGGTAGACGAGAAGAAGGCATTGAACGCGTCACGAAGCCTCTAGGCAGTTGACCAAGCTATCTATACAAGCCGATATCCTACACTTCTTCCACCCACAAACTCATTTTGCTGAGCCGGTCATCTGTCCTGTCCGCGCTTATCGTTCTCGTGCAACTCATGCTTCATCCTTTCGTTCTGTTCTTCGATATCAGGATGATGTTTATCCACATTTGGGCCTGGCTCAATTCTACGCATGAACTTGGCCGGATTCCCCCCAACTACTGTGTTCTCTTTGACGTCCTGGAAGAGCTTGTAAGTGTCTTCCTGTCGCTACATGCTTGACGATCAGCCTACCTTGGTAACCACAGAGCCAGCACCGACGACCACGCCTCTACCGATCTTCCGGAATGGCATGATTATCGTGTCGCCACCAATGAAGCAGTCCTCGCCGATGCTGATCGCACCAGCGACGAAGCTGCATTGGCTACCCTTTCGCTGAGCTGAGTCTATGGACATTGTAGTGCCGCAGATCTTGACGTTCGGCCCGATGACAGTACGAGCACCAGTACGTATCACAAGCATCTCGCATGTAGCAGCTGGGTTGTATTAGTATGTCCTCAGCAAGGTGTATATTGTAGCCGTAGTCGCACGTGAATGGAGTCTCTACGAAAGTGTTGATGCCCACAAAGCCTTTCGGTCCATTGTAGCTCTCGAGCGCGTATTTACGCTGCATGCAGGTGGACCTTCACGTGTGCTCCGGAATCCATCAGTATTCGTACCAGGTTGAGAATGCTCTCCGAGATAGACCACGACTTTCTGAACGTTCTCATAGATGGAACGCACATTCGCGACTTGGCCTACTCTATCCTGCGGATCATGCTGGTTAATACAGATGGTACAGTCGATTGGTCGATCTCTCAAAGAACAAGCTGCCCAAAGGAAGTTCAATACTGATTAACGCACGAGACTGAACGCAAAATAGCCTCCAACGGATACTCCTGCATTGAGGGAGGTCAACGGGACGGAAGCAGCATCGAACGAGCTACCACAGAACATAGCAATTGGTTGAACTTGCGGCAAGCTACAGCTCCTGAGCCTGAGTCGCTATTATGTTAGTTTTGCTGATGCGGTCGCAGTCGGTATTGTGGTCCGACACGGAAGCATAGTAAGTCGACCCCCATCCCGGGAAGGTTGATCTCTGCGAGCAAACTGAATGTCAAACGCAACAATCCGGACGCGGGCGGAGAAAAATCACGTAAGTCATGAGCCTGAAGCCAAGATTTATTGAGGTGATACTTGTCGACTCCTATCCACTCACTACTCTTTAGGTCCTACCGTGCTCAGTCTGATCGTCTGGGCTGTGCGGCGCCTCGACGTTTTCCTCCCGGGTTTTCGCTGGATGAGCCGTCCGATATGACTTGCTACCTTCATCATCGATCTGCTTCATCTCTTCCACTGACTCTTTGGACGCCCATTCAGCACGCTGTGATGGGGTGAGAAAGTCCCGAGACCGCAGTCTGGTGCATCCGGGGAAGCTCTTGTCTTCCTGTCAGTAGGTTCTTGACCTTAAATGAACAGGGGTCTCACCTCGACATTGAATGGCCATTCCTCCCGGGTTTGAGAGACATACACTTCGCGCTGCCCGTTGTACTCTACGAGTACTGAGATGCATATATCCTTGTCGTGGCTCAGCATCGAATTCTGATACGCCCAAGCCTCTTGCAGCAGCTCGTTCTTGAGCTTCTCGTAGAGGTCCTTATCGATATTGGGTGGAGCCGAATCTTGCTTGCTTTCGCTGTGATTCATGATTGCTGCAAAAGTGAGTGCAGGAGTGCGCTCTTCCATAAATGCACTTGACATCGTACTTGACTATATGGAACGGAGGCCCTGCTATGCCGCAGGATGCCTTGCATATCAAGGGGCGCTTAGAATCAGGGCACAGTCGCAAATATCAGCCGGGCGGTAGGACTGGTGTAGGTATTGGAGCGAATATGCCGATCACCCGCTTCGTAACCGCGCGCCTTGAGCGCAACTGGAGCAGCTTAGCAGCTTCTATCGATTGGTAGTCGAAGCCTTTCAGTGCCCTGCTGCTGAAGACGTAGTTCCTCGCCATCACATCCAGTTGCCCATCAATAGAATCCTCCTCTGTCCTTATATTGACTTGCACCGAGGTTCTGTTGTCCAAAATTAGGCATATGGCGCGCGTTGACAGTGGAAATCCACGGTCTGCTGCCGACTGCTGCCTTACTGTACTTCCCTCCCGCACAGTGCTGTCGCAATGGGCTCCGTCCTTCCCACCTAGTCTCTCCATATACAGCATCTAGATCTTTCCATCTATAGCTTGACGTTTAGCCTTTCATACGCACTTGTCGATACAGCGTCTGTTCCATTGACCGTGGTTCGGCGCAACGGCTCGTCCCATCAAACGCCACCTCGCTGCTCGAGACATTCACGTCCACAAACCTGTGCAGGGCTCCCGCCTTCCCTAGCGCCAGCATCACAATTGCGGAAAGATGTCAAACAATGTGCGCAGAACGAAAGCGCTCGCTGCCTTCGCCCTCATCGGTTGAATGTTCGATCGACTGACTGGAGGCTGCGCTCCCAGTGGCACACACCTGTATTCGCCAAGGGCGCATACTGTGGGCTTTTTGCGGGGTTTGTGCAATGTGATTGGATCTGCTGGATGAGTCTAGATCGCTGCGTGCATACAGCGATACCTAAGCCAGAGCTTTGTCTAGATAGTAGGCTTAAATAGCCAGCGCTCCCTATGCAGGGACCACAGACCTTTGAACGGCCTTCTAAAGAACTCTCGTCCACGCATTCACACTCGCACATGTCACGCTATCATTGAAACGGAATGGCGTCAGCATTACGGAAGCAGTCTCTACTAGCACAAGCTCTCGGACGGGGATTAGTTGAGCTGGTGGGCATCAACGAAGTCAAATTCTTACTCTTCGATCGACCTGCGGAAGGACGCCGGGTCAGTCTAGGTGTCAAGGGCTTGAGTGCTTGCTCCGTGGTTATTCTCGCGTCTGATCATGGAGCGATCATGGCCCACATAGGTCCCAATGAGCTCGGCTCGCGCGACCCGCGATCCTATCTACGTCTAGCAAATGAGAAAATGGACGAGCTTGAGAGCATCTTCCGCGAGAACCAGCGATACTTTGGTGCTGGCAGCCATGCATATCTCATCTTCGCCACTTTCCAGGACAAACCTGTATCGCCAGAGCAGGGTGATATTTTTAGGGCTCGTATCCAGTCTTTGGACGTGCCTCTTATTAGCGACCGCCCGTACGAGCGGTCGACATCTGCGCTCATCGATGATGATAGACCCGAGGGCACCGTATGGATAGTGAAAAGGCAAGACACTCGCCCAACCGTCTACCTTGAGGATAGATTGGTCTCACCGTCGGTAAAGCCTACGGCTGGTCAGTCACAGACAGGTACGTCACAAGCAGGTCCGTCACAAGCAGGTCCGCCACAAGCAGGCCCATCACAGACCGATCCATCACGAAGCGGCTCATCACGAAGCAATGCATCACAAACCAGCGCATCACAAACCAGTACATCTCAAAGTACGCGGCAAAATGGGGAATCAAAATGGATGCGTCGACAGGGGCTAGCAGGCTATATGCTAGTCAGTAAATCCGGTCAAATTTTGCAGCGCTCGTCTTCTCCTCCACAGAAAGTCTGGGTGTATTTGTACAACCAAGATGGAAGTTACAAGGGCGCAGCCATGCTAGATGGAACCACATGGGGATATGAATGACCTAGATATTAGAACCATATGTTTGCTGCCAGACTATCCCAAAGACCTCGTGTTCAGTACCTTGATGACTTCGTTGTGACGTTTTGCTTCAGCAATATCGAGCGCTGTTCTTCCTATCGAGTCGACTACCGTTGCATCTGCCCCTTCCCTAAGCAGATGAGCCACAGTTACAGTACGACCCAGCTCCGCCGCTTTGTGTAGTGATGTTCCAGCACCAAGTAAACGACTTTCTAGCCAAGATGCGGGATCGTTCTCGAACATGCGAGCATCGATAGCTGCGCCACATGCTATCAACATATCAATGATTGCCAACTGGTCAAGCTGATCACGCTCAATAGCAAAGTGAAGCGGCTGTCCCTTGCGAGTGTCGCCACCACTTTCTAAAAGAAGTCTAATGGTGGTGAGGGATGCGCTCTGTACAGCTACAGAGAGCGGAGTGATATCCAGGTCACACCTGGTATTAGGGTTGGCGCGGTGGTCAAGTAACCATCTAGTCATCTCTTCGCTTCGTACCATGCTCCTGGTAAAAGTTAGGAAAGATGTAGTCATGAAAATCTAAGCCACCTCTTCACTCACCTTAATATAGGTGGCTTCAGCCTACTCGAAAAGGCCTCCGTCGACCATCCTTTATCAAGGAGAACTTGAAGTACTGCCGTGGACCGGACCCTGACAATAGCTTCGGCAACAAAGGTTGGCTGGCCTGCGAGCTTCTCACATAGGTATTGCACCATACCAGGACGTTCTTGCCGGATCGATTCGGAGAAGCCTGCCAAAAAGAATGTTGCCTGAGAAATAGTAATTGCCGTATTAGCCAAAATCCGAGAGACGGCCGGGAAGTCGCCCTTCGAGCAAGCCCGCTCGAGCTGGACCTGTTCTACTGACATTAGGTCATTGAATATGTCCTCTGCGAACTCGGATGAGTCGCTCTTTTCAGGAACTTCGACAGAGTCTACTTTCAGATCTTTGAGGAGCCCAGCTTTGCACACATCATCCACTATGTCAGTGAAGGTCCTTGGAGCGTGCTTATCGTATGCTCTTGCAATGTCCTGCAAGCCAGCAGAAACAAGAACAGATAATAAACCAGGATAGCCGTGCACGGCACCGCCACACAAAGCATCCACAAGATAAGATGTAGGAGCACCCGCTGCGCTCTCAAAGAGTAAGCGCAGTATGTCATGACGGGAATTGCGAGCTGCCCAGTATGTAGCACCTCCGTATCGTAGAGAATGGTCTGAGGCAGTCGCCGTCAGAAGCTCTGCGACTGAAAAATGACCGTTTCTGCAAGCATCTTCTAATGCAAGATCGAAAGCGCGACTGGAACCGACCAGCGATGGGTAGCTCAGCATTACGCGTATCATGATATCGGAGCCGTTGGATGCAGCAATCCTCAGAAGATCATCCCAAAATTGCTGGTCGAGTGTGGTGGAAGCGTCCAAGTCGTGTTGTTTCATTAAGCTCATTATCGCTATGACCACATCATCATGGGATTTAAGTGCTGCGCTTTTTAAAGCCGGTTTGAGGAACTCATCTATGCCGTATCGAGTGCCGAAGACCTGGGTGTCATAGCAAACACCTGGGGAAAAGATGTCGAGTCTGCCAGATGCCGCTCCAGACTCAAGCGCCATAACCATGCGGGAAGCCGCAGCATCACCTTTCAGAGTATCATCGGTCATGGAGACGACGCGAATAATGGATCTGAACATTTCAACGTCTGCATAGCAGCAAGCCACAGTTAAAGCATCTCCAAACCATTTGGTTCGATGACCCGCGCAAGCTCCTTTAAGGATCCAGACCTCCATTTCATATCCTCGTCCCATGTAGAGTGAGGCGATCAGCGCATTCTCTATAGCGCTCGATCTTCCTGTCAAGAGCTGTGGGTCTCTGATAAGGCCATGAAGGACTTGATGGAGAGGCAGTCCGGCCACCGCTAGCTCCACTAGCGCGTCTTTGTATGCCTCTCTGTTGGTCTCACCCAATACAGTTGCAACGAAGTCCGCTGTGCATAGGATTTCGCGGGTCAGCGCACGTTCGTCTTGATGCGATTCCAGCTTGTTGTGGATCAGGCTTGCTATCATTGCCCTGCCCATCTTCCAGTCCCATGTGAGGTGACCAGGAGCGACAGCGTCCGGCGACTCAAATGTGGGCAAGGAAAATATTGCATCCTGTATATGTTGATCGAACTTGTGACAGACCAGTCTTAATCGGACACTCAAGCGGATACCAACGTAGTTGATAACCTGCACGAAAATGGTGCTCAATATCTCCGAAGGAAAGCGGCATAGGGCCGGGCCAGTCATGGTTCCGAATGCCAAATATTTGCTGACAAGTCAAATAGCTGGTGTGCAGATGCAGGTGCAGTACTGTTAACGACAGATGATTGCAATAGCCTTTGAGGTAGAAAAGCAGAATTAAGAGCGGGGCATACATACCCCCGCACGATACATTGGCCGGCTTGCCGATCCGGCCGCCTCAGTGCTGCAGCTGTCACGCCAAGAGTCCGATCTATCGCTGCGAGAGATTGCTGAGTATATCAAGGGAAACTTCGACCTCACTGTCCCGCTCTCCACTATCCTCCGAGCTTTACACCACAGCAGATGGTCACCAATGATCCTGCACCACACACCCAGGTTTACAGGCTCAGAAATGCGGTCACACTTCTCTCCCAGGAAAAGTCTTTCCTTGAAGGACTTTGCAAAGTGACACCTCCATACAATGAGTCGGAGAAATCGATTTCTCTTGCTACCGTGTGTGAAGGCAGAAAGCAGGAGATTGCGCAGCATAAGGAGGCGGCGAAGCAAGCCAAGCACGAGAGGGATCAGGAGATTGCGCGGGAGAAGAAGGCGAAGAAGGCGGAGAAGGCGGCGAAGCAAGTCAAGACCGCGAAGCAAGGGGCTGGAATTCTTCTGGGGTAACTTTTTCGCCATGCCCAGGGTGCTACAGTACAATCATCGGATAGCTTTGGTCCGTAACTTCATTGTTCAGTACAAACCGGAGAAGGGTGACTAGCCGTGTTTTGCGCTGGCGTAATTCATTGCGACGTGGGAGTCATAGCAGTAGGAAAAGGTGCATGAGCAGGACTGACGTGGCAGCATGCTACGGCGGCCTATGTCTGTTTTTTGTGCGGCCCCTCCACTCAGTAACGCTATCGTTATAAACTTCGTTACTAATATATGTTTCATTATCGCAGGCTCGCCTTTTGCATTGGAAAAAGTCTCCATACTCATCGTCGCCATGATCATCTTGCTCAAAAGACAGATCCAGCCTGTCCCTACCTGGTTTGTCGAGTATGGGAGACACTAGAACCGAAGGCTTTTAGCTGTCCGCGTGTCCAGTCCGTCTTGCATCTTCTGACGTTGCCGCTTAGTAGGGATGGCGCTTCGATGATGACTCGCTTTGCATCCACAGCCACTGATCAAAGCTCTCGCCATCTTTCCGGGTTGCTGGGGAAGCAACGGAGCGAGAGCGATTCTGGAACATACCATACGATAAGTGCTCCGTTGGCCGTTTGACCAATCGCTTCAACTTCGTCGTCTCGGGACTGTCATCACCTTCGGCGATCACCCTCGCAGCGTATGCCCTCTCTGCAAAGACCTTGGCTCTTGCCTTATCCCCATGCGCGATCGCAATCTGGAATGCATCATAGTATGCTCGAGGAATGCTCGTATCTGTGATGCCTTCCTGGTCGAGTAGTTCGAGCAAGACACGCACCGATTTCAGTCCTATCTCGATCCCTCCACCGAACGCCGAACTTCCAATGGATTCATCGATGTCTTGGATCATCTGTTGCCGCCCATCACTCTCCTCCCTTTTGACTTGAGGCAACGAGCAAAGCTCGCATTTACAGTCGAAGAAGAATTTGTTTCGAAGAGATCGTTGACGCTCTGCGTATGGTGCTGCCTGACCCAAGTACGTGATTGGTACTTCTTGTCCTTCTTCAATGTCTTTGACGGCGTGAATGGTGATACAGCCGATCTTCTCGTTCCAAGTATTCTGCGCATTATTTCTGCAAGAATGATTTATGCGAGACGCGGTCAGGAAAAGGCCACCTTCGTAAGAGTCCGAACCAAGAGGAGGCACGTTCGTTTTCATTATGCCAAGAGGTGGGTCGTGACGCTTTCCGTGGGCGTTGTGTAGTTCGAAAAAGGCAGTTTGTTGATCTCTGCTCAGAGTTCTCAGTTGCTTCACGATGATACTGCTCACAGCTTGAAGGTCCGATGCATGACGAGGAACTTTTAATATCGGTGCTTCAGCGAGGATTCGAGTCCCTTTACGGATCTTTGACATGGCCACCAAGCCTTGGCCTTTCGAGTGGACAGGTCGAACGGCGTACTGTCTGGTAACGCTCTCCGTTTCCTTGAGCTGAGTTTCAGCTGTGCCTTTTTCCATTTGGCCGGGAAGAATAATGAGAATAAGCTCTGCGATATCGTCACCTCAATTCGATCGGTCTGACGTACCTTTGTTCTCTTCGACCAGCGAGCTACTGTCTCCAGGCTTTCATCAGCCACTGTCTCCAGGCTTTCACCGCTCTTCTGCAATGCAACGAGTTCCGGTTCCCCCTAAGATGTGGTCTCACTCGAACCAAGCATTTCTGGCCATTGGCACATGTGTGCTTCCATACATGTCCACAACTCTGCCAATAAGTTCCTCCTTCCTTCCCTGGGGACCCCCTCCAACCATGCAGCCGTCCAACCGTACTCGGGGTGACGACGGTGCACTAACATTGGAATCACAGCGCACGGGGCAAGTTTTGCGACCGCTAGTTGAGCTGGCGCTGGCAAAACCTACCCCGTGCGTTTGATGCGATGGTAGGCAAGTACCAGTAGCAAAGCGCACGAGTGGTTACACTCTAGAATGTCGGATAATTTTCGTTCTCTCAATCATGGATGGAGAAAACCAATTACACATTGTGTCCTGAACAGTTTCTACAGACTGATGGTGTTCAATGTTCCATGTCGAATCAGTTAGTCGCTTCTTATAGCACGAAAACAAGACGAGTAGATTCTGCGCCAGAGCGACAAGTTTTAGCAGCAAGGCAATCAAGCGTGGATAGTGTTTGTGTACCTTGCTACGTGAGAGGTCTGCTGCGCGTACTCCCAGGACTTGTTCTTGGTGGGCGTGTCATATTCGCGCTTCAATTTCGTCGCTTTATCACTCTTCGGCGACGCGGTTTTTCTTCGTGATTCTTGGTTCATGATAATCGCCCGATTCTCTGCATATTTGTGCAGTTGAGAGCGTGTCGATCGGAGATGTCGTTCAATAGTTATGTAGTTGTAAACATAGTGCTACCGCGCAAAGTGCGGGGGCGGAGGGCCCATGTTGGCAGATCCGAGCTTGTGCCGACGTGGGAAGTAGACAGCTCGTTTAGCAATTGATCTTACCGACTTTGCTCGATATTGCAAGACAAGGCATACTTCTCATACTCAGAGCATCATCTTTATGGATATATACGACTCAGGCATACCGCCCCGCGCAGATGTGCCAGCTGTCAAGGTGAGGCACAGCGAGAAATACTGCATCATGTGTCTGGAGCCTGTGGAAACTCGCAATGGCGTCTGGGTAATAGCAGGACATCAAGCTCGAATGCTTAAGGCAGATGAGTGCCACATAGTGGTTCGTCGTGGTTATACAGGCAGACTATTGCACTCAGAATGTTTTCTTAACGCTGCCGCACTGCTGGGAACTACTCGTCTGCGTCGTCAACTGAAGTACACTATGGACACCTTCAGCTTTCTTTTCGCCCCGCCGAACCATGACCGCTTACAATACGTACGCGAAATTGTCAAGACCTTGATTCCGCAACGGTTGGACGAGAGCTTGACGATGGCATGGGCGATCGGACCAGGCTTCCTTAAGTTGCCACAGGAGTTGAAGTGGATGATTGCCGACTTATCCGGGTGGTGTCCAGCAACGAGATATTTCCATTTCCTCTACTTCAAAGAGTATATGGAACGACATTGTATACAACATGATCGCCGGCCTCTGCGATTGGACGCGACACGTCGAATCGACCTTGAGTACCAAGAGCTTTTCGGCCGTAATTATATCAGTCATGTCAGCGAATCGCAGGATGGTACAGCAGCTGCATATCAAGACATAATCGTGGTCTTCGATAGCGTTGGTTGTATCGCAATTCAGGAATCTACAGGGTGTAGCGAGGATCTTTTGGTCATGCAGGCTGCAAAATGGTACCGACGTTTAGATCTGACAACGGCCTCTACCATAGAAGTTTCTTTCAAGGTAAATTCTTCGTGCATAATGAGTTGCGAGAGTGCTGACGGGCCAAGGGAAATCTGGTAAGGGACATATTCATCCTTGATGGGTTCCAAGAGATGTATCTGTTCGACTCTCTCCCTCCGCGGAACAGTATGCCGAAACCAGAACACAGCTATGGACTTCCAGTTCCGTTTCGGACACTGTCAGACTTTTGTGACTCTCCGACCCGACTGAGATGGTCTCCTGTGTTGAATGGCAGACGAAATATTGTCGTTGCTTCCTTGCACAACCGGATCATCGCAATTAGCATAAGTTCTATCGATGACGGTGGCCTCGGAATCTACGAGCGGTTGATTCACGAGAAGTACGCCGAACAAATCATCTGGCTTTCTGCCTGTCTGGTCCCACATGAGGAGATCCGCGAGGTGGCAGTCCGCAGTCTGTGGAATGTGGATCGCAGCAGACTTGATGAGTGTGGGATTTGTGTAAGTAAGCTCCACCGTGACCTTGCAACCGATATTGATAGCCGCAGCTATCCACCTCATACGGGAGACAGATTGTTTTTGCGGCTCATGTGATCTCAGAGCGACAGCCGGAGTATGAATACACCCGCTTGGTCAATGCCACCGATCTTGTAGTGGGAGGTTTTTTCCTAAACGAGCAATACGACAACGGCGACCAGGTCCGCCTTGCTGTAGCTTGCAGAATCAAGAATGTTCACGATCAGGATTACGACATTCCAAGAGACATGTTTCAAGAAGCGAAAGTCTCTTCACCACCGTTGGACAAGCGTGTAGGATTCTTCTTCCGCGCGTGTGACGTAGACCACATCATGGAAGCGCACGTCTGCCACGACGACAGCATGCGATGTTTCGGCATTCGAATTGGCGACGATGTCTTGGGTCAATGGCGAGAAGGTCGAAGGATCCTTCACATCAGGGACCTGAGCGCTTGGTTCCTAGAAAACCGGACAGTCAGCCGTGGCACAAAATGGGAGAGCCCCGCTGTATTCTTGAAGAGGCAATCCGAATTGCCGCATTTGTGTGGCGTAGCAAGTCGAGACATCGTACCTATTGCTGGAGTCCTCGAATGGTGGACTGGCGTGCTTGGCGATCACGTTCAACAAGTCTCATCAAGATGCAACTCTGATGGCGATGCGCTTGGTCCATGATTCAGCGACTCCAGGGAGTTGGGAATTGGATTTTCCTCTGCGAGCATTTGCTAACTTATTTATGCCATCTCTTTGATTCTCAAGTTGATCATTCAACCTCGAGCAAATGCAAGACATGAAAGCCCGTTCTATGTACCTTAAAGAATAGCTTCATGGTGGAGACAGCACGATCCTTTCCCCTGACAGACCCGTTATAAACAAATGGCGATTTGCATCAGATGAGGTTGGTACCCAAGCATTCTGTGCCCCTGCCATTGACATCACCTGCGGACAACCGATTCCCTGCTGCCAACGTACGTGGTATTGGTACTGCCGAGTCCCAATACGACAACGTAAAATCTGCTGCCCATTATTCTGTGTTGTGATCGGATAACCTGCCCATATCGTTGTTTGCACTGAAGCCGACACTGTGCCAGTCTGCGTCCGGGAAAGTGCCGCTTGGCCCCTCCCAACAATCACTGATGGCGCTGTAGCTTGGCGTAGCTGCACACTTGCGACACTTCCTTGGTTGGTCAAGCCATGGTTACCCCACCCCGGCGGAGGGGCATGAGGTTCGCTGTAATGTCAGTGCATGATCACTCGCGGATACAGTTGTCACTTACATATAACTTTTATCGGCGATGGGCAGCGGCGACCGAGCCAGAGTCTCCTGTAACGCCCCCCACAGGGTTGCGCCTCTATCAGGGTCTGCCGCGTCTATGTACTCACTAGCATCCGCATCTAGGAAACCTTGAGCATGCCACATTGGAACCCATGGTTCATCGTCGCGCTCTATTGAAGCACGGAACATGCGACAGGCCGTGCCGACTGTGCACATGGCATATACGCTTCCCGGCATGTTGCCCCGCTCTTTGAGCCAAGCCTCGCAGTCGCGGTGAACCTGAGATTCAACATCATTGTATCTCGAAGAGCGTGCGTTGTGCCCTTTTGCTTGGCATATGATCAGGTGGAATCGCCATTTCGTAGATTCATGAAAGGCATCAGCAGTGATATCGATCCTGATCAACCTGTATTCTGGCTCTGGATCCTGCTGGGGTGGTTGTTCAGTATCGATTCTGATGGCCTTTCCTGAAAGCTGGGCCCATGCAGTCAGAAGGGCTGTCCAGAACGACCGCGAATCGGACTCCTGTGCGGCTGGGGCCCGTGCCGCAGCATAAAGAACAGGTAGATCTTCTGCCAGTTGCAGCAGAGTAAAAGATCTTCCGCTCATGTTGGGCACCTGATGCGATTCACTCTGGCCCCAACTTGATAGAAGGAATAAGTGCACTCACGAAAGGATGTGACAATGTCGTGCGGGACCTCTTGACTGTAGTCGTAAGATCAATAGAATGGACTCATGCATGCCCGTCGTACTAGCGCATATAGCTCATGCAGAGTTGTGTCGATCGAGGGTGGGGCCACAGGCGTTTCGGAATGGTGGTAGTGAGTTCTGAGTATTCACCGCTCGCTCTCGCACTGCTGCTCGTCAATATTACACCAGACACGAATCGTTGCAAAGCCTGATCTGAATCTTATGGACTGCGCAAAGCTGAAAGTTTATATATCTCAACAACCAAGGTACAACGCGGATGCACATGAAGGCGACTTATGACGGCATGGGCTAAGCCATGCGCCTGGTTCGCTGGCTTACTTCACCGGTCGAGAAGATCAATGCCCGAAACAGGGCGCTTCTGAACGTGTTCCCTGCTCGTTCCTGCCACGCGACCTCGGATAGCTTTGATGGGCTTTGTTATCATTGGTTTTTGCGTCAACGCTGCATGCTGAAACGCTCGCAGTGACATGGGCATGGCATGTCTCAGTCAACTGGCTGTAAATGGCTTTGCAACTGTGAGACAGCTCCCAAACATGATTTTGCGTTGGAGCGAGCTCAGCGCGAGACCTGCGGTCCGCTCGGCACCTGCGGAATTGCTTCGGGATCGTCACCGCCATATCGCCTGAGCGTCCCGGCACATAGTGCGTCCCGTTATGCGGGGATAGACGTTATGCTCAGCACACGCGAGTGGTGCTCAGTGTCTTGCTATCGACCGCAATTGATTGTACATCAATTATTTCAAGGTTGTCAACAAACTTGGATCGCGTCAGTAACGGCAAGCCAGCTGTTACCGAGCGCAAGTGATAAATCGAGGCACGCTGACAAGCCAAAACAAACCTACCGAGCGCATGCCAGCTTACTGGACTATTGGCTGCATCTCGACTCGCTCTACGATTCTTTGGGGGAGGAAGGCTGAGACACAAGCTCTCTGGTTGAGTCGCCGTTACCGACGTGTCGATTCAGCACACTCATCCGGTCATCATTACGGTTTCTCTGTGCCGAAGCCTTCCGTTGCTCCTGTTTTTTCCGCATCAACCATGGTCCTGGCGCGTAGTACTGATCGTGGATGATGAGAAGAACGTGGGTATAGCGGCAAATCGTCGTGCCTATCGAACGATTCCCGAGCGATATCCAAACCCAATACGGAACCAGGTTGCTGTTCCTAGTCAGCCCTAGGCTATCGTACTCGTTCTGGAAGAGACTTACAGCTGGCGGATGGCGCTTGAAATCGCTAAAATTGCCTTTTCCCACGGTTGGTATTCATGCCCCGACTTGTCTTTTCGGATCTTCCACACGTAACCGGCCTGCAGCGCCGCTATGCTCAGTTCGATAAAGGTCGAGCATGCGGGTGGCAACCACCGAGCCAACTGTGAGATGCGTTAGCAGTGTTTGCGGCCAGAAGACAGCTTTAGCGCACCGTGGACTGCCCTGCAACGCCGCGCAGGATGATGGAGACGATGCCTGCAGCTAGGGTTACGATCCAAGCGGCGGTCATCGTCTGCGCACCTTCAGTTGGCCATCCAATGTGCGCCACATCCGCGTACATACTACTCTCGGCTGAAAGCACCAAGCAGGAAAGCAGAATCATTGTTGCCATTTGCTGCATCGGGATGTATCAGTGTCTGGCGCCGAGGTCGATCGAAAAAACTTACATCGTGTTGGCTACCTAGCACCTGGAAGACCAAGTCGCATGCGCAGTACGATGTTGCGAGTGCCACGGAGGAAAAGCGTAAGATCAGCCTGGCCCAAGGCAACCATGTTGGCAACAAAGCTGCGCTGAGGTAGTCGGCCTTATTGTTCCTGGCGACACGCCATGCAGAGAGACTGTGGAGGACCGCTTCACCAACCACGAGCAACAGCGCAAAAAGCGAGCACCAAGCATGAGCATTAGGGTATCGTGACATAGCAGATGTCGGTGAACAGAGGCGAACTGGTGAAGGCGAACTGGTGAAGGCGAACATGTAGGGCATAGGTCTGTACATATAAAGCGGCCATTGTACCTGAAGTGGCTATAGGGTATATACGCAAAAAGGAGAGCTTTGGCCCGTCAGGTTGATCGTTTGGATACTGCATCAGGCAAGCGAACTTCCCCGCATGGCACCACTACGCCACACCGCAAGATAGAACTAGCCCAGAAATGTAAGGGGACCGGTCCCCTTACATTTCTGGTCTAGGATCTGGCGGCAGGAAAATTCACTGTCCATTGATCTCGACGAAGACCTTGACACGCACTTCTGTACCGCTGAATATTGCTTGAGTTGTCACGAGGACAGTGAAGGTTTGTTGGTATTGGGATGCCATCTGTACGTTGCCACGAACGCATTGTCTGCGACTATCCTCGTGCCTATCCCACGAGGTTAAAGGCTCGAATATACTGACACATGTTAGCAGCGTGAAGGGAAGCAGACGAAGAATGAGGCAGATAGACCCGCGGCTACCAGCGGACTCGAGTATCTCAACTAGCGCGAGGATGGTTGATCCGTGCAAACGTCCCATTATGGAAGGCTCAATGCTATACAGACCTGCTAGCTGGCTCAGATCAGGCGAAACGCCAAACACGATCTCGGTAGCAGCTTCTTCGCACTTGATGCAGTTCAGTTCTCTATCTTCTCAAGCTCTAAGTCTCTGCAACCATCGACATGAGCGCCCACACAACGTTCTACGCTGTGCTCGGGGTTATCCAAGCAGTGTCATTCTCATGTCTGATAGTCCGTTTCTCCTATCGTGGACACGTCGCATCTTTCTTCTACCATGAAGTTTTGCTGCTCTTTGGTTGGGTAACAACGCCCTATTATACCCTAAAAAAATCTCTTTTTACTAACGACTCCTAGATCTGCAATATCGGATCTGTGGCATGCTACCTAGTGAAGATTAAGCAGCCAGGAGCCGCGTTATGGGGCGTGAGTCATCGCTCAATAATTCCTAGTTCTGGCAACAGGTGCTGAACAATACAGGTCGATATAGCTTTCCAGCTCTTTTGGCGAGTCTCCGTAAACACCATCCAGCTTAGCTACACTTGGCTGCTGAGCGAACTAGCCGAGGGCAGCACAACGCAGGCATACATGATCTGGTTGTGGTCAAGCACAGCATGCTGCGTCGCCGGTTCCGACGTCGTCGAAATCTTTGCTTGGGCGTACAAGCAGACATCATTTCCATTGGCAAGTTCTGCACCTCTTACCCTATCAGTGTCGGGGTTAGGGTTACTAACCATCTCAAGAGGGCAACAGCGCTTGGTATCAACGTGGGCTTCGAGTTGGCTGTGATCGCTGTGATGTACACAACAGTCCGACCACGAGACCGTAAAGCGACACTGCCGTTCATTATCATTACGGCCTGTATGCACCTGTTGTGAGTGATCAAGCTGTGATCCCGGAAAGCGACATTTCTAACGACACTAGGATTGTGGCCCTGTGGAGTTGGCGGCTTTGGCTTTGCTATAGCCAGTTCGGTAAGCCATTAATGCACCTGTCCGAGACGCTTATTCCCTGCGTAATGCTCCTTGGGGCATCTACTCCCTGGTTGCCAACGTTATGGAACGAAGCACGCACGTGGGCATCGGGAGCGTTTGAGATCTCCCTCGTTGACTCGAACGAGTCGATTGGATCAGCGCGGTGCGCAGACGGGGCGAATTCGAATTCAAATTCAAATTAGACTTTGTGTCTTCGTCGCTGATAGGCATGAGGAAGGTGCATTTTAGGGTATCATAAATAATATTGCTGTATCAATTTCATCACCTAGCTCACAGTATCATCGCCCCTCCAATCTCTGACATGTCGTGACATGTCGTGACGTGTGATCAAACAGAACTGACACAATTCGACCCTATTAACAAAACATCCAGCTACGCAACAACGATAGAATCTGTAAATGATTCAGACAATGGGACTGGCATCTTCTTCCTCTATTGCGGCGTCAATTTGTAGAGCGTTACAACGCTTCCCTCTACCTTCCTTCGCCTTCGCTATTACGGGCTCCTAGTACTGGCATGGCAGAGTGCTCAGCAAGGACGTATAGCCTTAGATTGTGCTGTTAGGACCGGGTAGGCTTGAATTCTCATTTCTTAGGAGGCGGATTATGTACCCCAGACGGTGTTTGGTTGCATTCCATCTCAGGAGAAACGACAAGCTTGCCGTTGACTACTGAAAATGCCCATACCGTCACAGTTCTTGACCCCGATATCAATTCTTCGGAGGAGCGTAGGGCTATGGTTCCTGTTGTGTCGGGTAGGAGGAACTCAATCCATGGTCCTTGGAGCGATGGTGCGTGAGACAGGCCCAATACATCATCCAAGCCGAACTGGACTAAAGCCGAGCTCAGTTCTAACAAGAACGCATCGCCAGGTATATCGAGCGTACAGGAGTCGGGGACCTCGTCAAACTCCACGGGCCAAAATTCAGCATGCTCTTGCTTGTACTGATACAGGCACGGCTGCATCACACACTTCCCGAGCTCTTGTGGCATGCATATATCTTCTTCCCTTGGACCACGCGAGTGCATCATAACAGTCCCGGGTTTGCATTCGCAATGTCGGTGGAGCAAAGAGAGTCGGAACTGCGTATGCTTGTCGTAGTTGCAAAATATTTGTGCAATCGCTTCGAGTTTGGATTGCGGAATGTCTGTGCGTTGCTCATCCAAAAGCGGAATGTTGTTGTAGTTGTCGGCTGCGAGGTGATAGTCCCCTTCCCTCTGACGGATCAACATTGTGTGACGAACGGCAAGGCGGCGTTGTCGGTTGCAGGTGTCAACGGAGAAGCTGAGACGTCCCCACCTGAAAATTACCGTAGCAGCTGACGTCAAGCCCCGCATCTCTACTAGTCTCTGATATCTGTTACATGCAGCCACAAACCATTGTTCATTACTGTGTATTAGCTACAACTTGGTCGTCAGCATGGGGATTCCGCCCTCCGATGCCATCTGTGTGGCTAACAAACAAGCCGCCCAGTGCTCGAGCGCAATTGGCGCTGTTCTGGCAGTCGACGTAGTCCAAGAATTGTGGCGCATCGCAAAGGACCTGGAGCCTATGCCGTCCTACCGTGAATACGCAAACACACGCTTTCTATGGGAAATGCTAGATATGGGAAAGGACAGCGAAGCCTTAAGGCTCGTCAAACTTATTGTCTCGAATTGGACAAGGGTGCGTATAGATAATTCGCCGTGTCGCAGCAGGCACATGCTGACCAAGGGAAAAGGCAGAGGATAACATCAAACGAGCTACCGAATCTATTGGGCGCCAACCCTACGACCCAGACAACTTGGTCAGTGGCTTCGCAATCTTTCGTATGAAATCACGCCAAGGAGAAGAGTGGAACTCGCTCGGGAATCATGGCCGGCCAGACCCCGAGGAAACCAACCAACATAAGCCTCAAAGCGTAGTTTTTGTGGGTCTGTCTCCGCTAAGCTGGCACAACGGTTTCTTTATGGATCTGAAGACTGGACAGGATGTTTGTCTTGACGTGAAAACAGATCTTGTCTATCCACCTACTGGAGGAGGATTAGGTGTGATTTTCTGGCTCCGAATATGATGCGATGAGGTCGACTTTGCGGGCAGTACTAGAGTACTTGCAACGGGTTGACCAATTGCAGAGTAGGATCGAAAAGATACGCATGCTGGTACCCAAGCATTTCTGAAATTTTCGCAACGCTGAAGATGTCAGAAATCGTGTAACTAGTTTGCTGAGGCTGACCTACTGTATCCTATCCTTGAGGACATTAGACAAAATACTAGGCATGAAGAAGGAATTCATTCTTGGCCAACTCTCTGCATCTTTCGTGAACTTTGGTTCCGACAATAATTCAGTGAAGTATCCAATGCTGTCTTGAGGTGATTTCGATAAATGGTAGAAAAAGTTCGGTTCTCGATCCCCTATACACAATGGCCAAGGTCAGTCAGATGCGAAGACGTCAAGTTCTGTCAGAAGACTTACAGTACAGGATCAGTTCTGCGGCGCGCCCATCAAAGCCGTGCGTCGCAAGAGTGTCAATCAGCACGTTCATGTACTTCGCCGTTTTCAATAATCGAGTGCAGTGTTCATCTGATACCCTTCCGTTGCAGATTCGCACAATATTGTAGACGTCTTGCTTGTCGATCTTCAAGTCGATGAACACTACGCACGCGGATAAAACCACGAACTTCTGGAATCTGGCCAGTGACAATGCCAACGACGCAGTATCGAAGCTCATCATGGCCAAGGATGCATAATTTCTAACCATCTCAATCATCGAGCTCTTTGTACCAGTGGAGGCAACCAATATCGATTCCGCCGGCACTTTCGACGTTATAAGCGCGTTGTTCTGCGGGCAAAGTAGGTGGGCAACAGCTTCGCCTGTGCTCATAGCGTTGTAGAACCCTTTTGCCTCCATTGCTTTCCTCCATGTGTTGGCGAGAGGAATCTCACTGACCAGCGTTCGAACTCGTTCTTCCCACCTCGGAGCATCCTTGCTCGGCTTCTTAGGAACCGGTGGCGTGGACCAGAATACAATGGATAGCTCATGTTGCTTTGGAGCTTGAGTGAATGTCGATGTTACTGGTGTTGGAGCTGTAGTGGATTTGCAGAGCGTGCTGGCGCGCTCGCCCGGCTCCAAGAGGGATGGCTGGCTTGTACCACAACGACATCGCTGCTGACGCCTTGCAAGACGTGCAAGTTTCCGTCGCAACACAGTGTTTGCCTCTTGAAGTTGTAGGATATAATTATGTTCAGCGCCTTGATGAATGGTATTCACGACGGACATAATTGAGTTTGCAAAGGTACCAGGACCTTCTCACATGGAAAAGCGAACTAACTATAAATGCAAGGGGACCGGTCCCCTTGCATTTCTGGTCTAGTTCTATTTGGCGTTGTGGCGTAGAGCGACCCGCAAAAGGAATGCAGCTTGTGGATCTCGGTTTATGCGCTAAACTCGAAGTAGGGTGCGATTATTCGCATGCTCTTCTTGGGCTGATACTCTGACGACTTCTTGCTCTTTCGCTACGCTCCCTTTGTGCCATGTCTATGATCTCCAGTCTTCCTTCCAAACCCATCATACCATCGAGCTTTCTGCACCTTGGCACGTCCCAAATTACGCCACTTACGCACAATTATATTCCATTCTGGAAAGACATCCATGGATAAGCACGCCGCCGTTCAGATCTATCTCACGAATGCAAGAAGAGACTCGGGATAAAGCGGCAAGGCCGGCGCTATCGCCTTGACGGTATGCTACTCTCCGGCTGCGGTGCATCTCGTGCTCCTGTATTGCTCCTCTTTGCAGACACACCACAACGACCTGCGCGTTACGACCCCTGTACAGAGCGAATGCTTGCGCCATGCAGAAACTAGCGCACCGCGACGGTATGGTCGCAACGCATTCGAGGTATAAACGGCTGGCAATCCTCAAGCACTAGCAGCCTGTTTTCGCCAAGGACATACTACACGCTGGAGCCTTCGTCTAGATATAAGACTCTCCCGCGACCACTTCTATTACCCTACAATATCCCGACATTGGTACAAACGCACTCATTTCTGGCCATAGAGCTCCCATAATGGCCGACGATAGCTCTTGGCTTCTCAGCGAGACATACCAACCCGTATGGAAAACCAAGCTGGAGAGAATCGAGCTCTACTATGGTGAAGGGAATGAATATTTCATCCGCTTCGTTGGACCGGTACAAGCCAAACAGGCCATCGAACTGTATTCAGAAATCACTTTCACCGTCGATGGTGCATACAAGGGGTTAATGGACGGGATCCACTACTCTCTGACCACTAAACAGGACGTCTGCGTTTGTGTCTATCGCTATCTTGTCGAAAGTAGGAACCGCGACAGGGTGATGTTTGTCGACGCGTACGTCGAAGCCCTTACGGCGGGCTTCAAGACACCCCATGGAGATCCTTCTCATTCTCGGATGTCAGTAGTCGCACTCGTGTAATAGGTGATTCTCGCGGAGAAGCTGACAGGAAGTTTAGGTGGGCGATATTGGAATGCTTCACGAACAGTGAACGGTATAGCATGGATTTGATATTCATTGGCGATTCAGCTAAAGCCTTCGAGGATCGTGCTAAAGAGACTACTCGAGCCAAGCCGTTTCTCCTTGACCGAGATAAGCTGCGGATCGACCACTACCGGAAGTGGCGACATCAGCTTCCACGCCGTAATGATGACGACCACGACCACGACCACGCTCATGGTGACGATGATAATGATGATCATGAGGAGGAGGAGGAGGAGGAGGAGGAGGGCTGCGTGGACATGTTTCACTCGAGCTCGAAGAGTGAAGCTATCGAAGCCATGACTCTTGAGGACGAAGGCGAACTCAGTTCGCAGATGACCGACGATAATGTGGTGAACGGGCGACCACCGATGGATGATCCTCAGGGTTGGATTGATTGGTACAAACGACATCAGCAGTAGGTGTCAACCTAGCTACGTAAGAATGTAGACTTTGCATCACCTCCGGAGCTAGGTGCGAGCGAGGAAGATACTGGCGTTCACAAGGAACCGTTTCACGAGTCGAGATGTCTTGGGGGCTGTTCCGCACCATGCAGGGTGCTCTCGCGCTCTCTGCGACAGAGCGCGACGGAGCGACAGAGCACGCACGAATCTCCTTTGTATATAGCGATGGCTTTACGCCGAGTAGTTAGGAGCTTCGTGCTCAACCTCAAGGACAGGAGTCAGCGATAGGTTTTACCTATTGCCAATTACCCTTGCCTTCGTACGCCTCAAGCCGTCCACGCCTGATCACCTTCCTAGCCCCATTCCTCATTACTCTCGTGCGACAAGGGTCAGAAACAGAAACGACACGAAGCGTGGCGTGCATGAACCTTGCAGCCTCTCCAACAAAGGCTATATGATGGCCTTGTAAGCACTCGTTCCTTTAAGATCCATCTTGCAATGATATCGATTTCATCCGTTCGATTTCCATTGTAGATACTAGGAGTCACCCACCCCTACCGCATTTACCATGGCCCCGACCCGTCATCCGTTAGTTCAAAGTAAGTCTAAAGCAAGATTCTTCGAACGTCTTAGCCTGGACAAAGACAATGAGCTCGCTCGTAGTATTTACGCTATGATGAAGGTTTACTTCTGACCGTTCAGTCTTACGTATCGAGATCGATCTGACGATATATAGGAAGAAGCTATAAATGCTCGCGAGCGTTTGACGACGGACGAAGCTGCGCTAGTACCAGCTCTTATGAATACCGGCGCGAAGCCACCATATAGTCATGCACAGATCAGCGAGACCGCGCTGCAAGGCGAAACCCAGAAAATCTACGACAGCGCACGAGGAGAAACCAAGGTCTTCTATGCTCTTGGCCTTGATATGGACCAGACTCCGCCAAGAAATTGGGTGATAGCATGGATGCTCTGGCATGTCTTCCGTTATCGAGATATCCGTAACCGCAACCGTAAGGCCAACGTAGCTAGCAATAGTGACAAAGACGACAACTGCGACCCATGCGAAGCATCAGCTCCTAGACCGAGTGCAGGCTTGTTCTGTAGGTATACGGACCAGCTGAGTCCGTGGGCTGCTTACCCTGGGATACAACAGCTGACGTATAACAGATGAACCACGACCTACAGTCTATTGGGATCTAGTGAGGGATGGATAACCCGTTTCCAAATGCCTTCAGAGCATCTACTCAGTGCTCGGTAGCATGCAATGCGCCTAAAGGTCCGATATCATGATGATCTGGACTACCTCGGACGACTAGCGAGCTTTGAGGATTCGAGAACTGAAAGGTGGCATCGGAGCCTAAACCTGCCCCTCGCTCTCCGCTGGACAAAGACGGGGAGCTTCGTCCTGAATTTTATCTACTCGTGTTCTCATCCAAGTTCCTTTAACACACTCTAGTCCTGTAGACTATTTTGACTTGCGAAACTTTCGCATCGTGCCTACATTCTGTTCTACCACCTCTAAATTGCTCTTCTTCATATGCGTTCGCTCCAATTTCGAGCTGAACGGCCGTAAGTGCTGGTCGCTCGCAAGCCTTTGAGCCCAATACAACCTCGGCATGCCAATCCAGCTGCACGAGCTGGCGGAGGTTGAGGACTCTTGGTCGATATGGGTCGGCCGAGCGACTCTTGCCGCTGGCGGCTCGTATGATAGCCGCCTGCGGTTCCAAGCCGTGGTCAGCGGCCTATGTGTCTTGTATGATGTGTTGTGAAAGTCAGTTGTGCTCGAAGACGGCGGAAGATGAGTTCAACCAGGAGCGGGCGCCGAAAGCAGTACTGGCATGGCGACTGATGTAGTGACTCCGGTATCGTCAGGTACAACAGAAGAGCCTGTGACCTTATAGTCACTCTCCTCAGGACTTCCGTATTCATTGAACATCAAGGTCATTGTATTGATCATTGTGAGAACGTGACCACATGGGGAACGTGGCGTTGCATCCTCTCCAGCAGCGATCGTTTTGATTTCGTGCACCCCGATACTGGGAGGTAGATATTCTGTAGGAGACTCAAGGTATCCTGAGCGCCTTGTCGATGCTAGGCGTAGCGTTGCAGCAAGTTCGTTGACATGGATGAGATGCATAGATGTCGCGACGTGGGCTCTGATATGGAGATGAACCGATAAGGATGGTCACCCCAAGAGTAAAATTCCCCCAAAGGTCCATCGCCTGGCCTACGGATAAGGCCCTGGCCCAGCATATCGCGCGAGCTCCGTTCGGAGCGCGAGGATGCAGCTGAGGGCTGTCTCTTCCCTGAAGATGTACGATGGAGCAGAAGACTCGTGCAGACTCTCTGAAAAATATGTTCTCCAATCGATTGGTGTGGGAATCGCCTTTGTCTGTAAATTGTAGTCTGCTGTCAAGCATGGAGCATATCGGTGAAGAACATGTTGGTGGGACGGAGATTGTGTCTTCCTTGGCGACTCCAGCACTGCTAACGAAATAGTCAAGGTCCGGAGTATAGCGATAAGTGTGGAGGGCTTGAGGCATCAAGAACGATTGCGTGCTTAGCTGAATCATTGAGAGCGGCTTCGCAGCCTGGATCGGTTGACTGTCGAAGACTCTGAGTGCACAACAGCCGAGGACGTAGTTTCTCACTACCATATCCAGTCGCCCATCAATAGAGTCCTCCTCTGTCGTTATGTTGACTTGTTCCGAGGTTCTGTTGCTGAGAAGTAGGTATGTGGGGGTGTGGTTATTGCTAAATCCGCGATTACCTGTCGCACCTGTGCTGTGAATGGTGATGCGTACTGTCCGGATGCGCGAGAAGGGCACTTTAGTGATTATGGCGAATGCGAGGGGCAATGCGATGAGCGACAGTCAATGGAGACGCTCGGCGCTTATTCGGGTACATCCACGAGGTGTCGAGGCTCGTGCACCCGCGCGTTGACAGTGGAAATCCACGGTCGCTCTTTGGACGAAAATCCTCATCTCCGAGTGGTACAGCAGCGCGATAGCATACGACATCGTTCCCATTCACGACCGTCGAGAACAAATTGGATCGGACTTACCCTCACGACTCGGTATGGACCAGCAAGAAGTGGATGGCGATTTCAGTTTGGCACAGCAGCTGTATACACTGCTCAACCAACCTCAGCGGACACGAGAGGGCATCAATAGGCTCCTCCGTCTTTGTCGGCGACGACTGAAGAGGCGGACGGCCAGTGTGACCGAGTTTGTTAGTCTCCTGCGAGATCTCTTGGCAGGGCGTCCAGAGTCGTTGAACATTCTGGAGCTCAAAGATCTTGTTAAACGAGTAACCGCGTCCACAGAGGGCAGCGCGCGAGACGACGATGACGATGACATTGACAGCAGCGGGACCGAGAGTGATGCCGAAACCCTGCGGCAAAACTGTGAGACGGTCCGGACAAATTGGAAGAAAACATATTCTTGCAGAAGGACACTCATCCAGTTGTGGGGCATGGATGTCGTTTTCTACTACGGAGCTCATCTTGCCGCGCGTAGTTTCACGGAGGCAGCCATCACAGCTACCTACCGCCATGGTCATTCCTTCGAGAACTTGCGTGAGCCACTCAATCGTCAGATATGGGCCTCAATATTGCAGAACAAGGGGCGTGTCGGTGGGAACCGAACAAAACGAAATATTGCCGAGAACTTCAATCGCATCGTGCGGTCTGATATGGATGCATTGAAGGGGTGTGCCACAACGATTGCGCCAGAACTACCAGCAGATCTGGTCTACGAAACGGACGAGCATGGGATCATATGCGCGTACTGCTGGACTAATGTTGACGGTATTTGTTCTACATCTTCCGAGGTCGCCGCGCCGCCTGGAACCTTAAATGTTGAAGGCCATGTACAGAGACCTGGTGCGGACACAGTGCCGTCTCCACTCTTGGCTCAGCAGCAAGTCGCTCCTCCTTCGCAATCAGCACTGCGGGAACCTACCTCACCAATACACGACACAACCAGAGCACTTCGCGGTCGACGAATACACGATGCACCGACAAACCCTGTTTATACTCGGGGGTCAAATACATCACGAAGACCGCCTAGAGGTACTGAAGACTACACAATAGAAGAGCACAATGGCATCAGCACGGAGAAAGCAGGAGGCAAGGTGGGCAACAAGCGCCGAAAAGTCAGTCTTGCTGGTCAAGGGAAAAGCCTTGTTAGGGAGAAGCTGTTGGGCCCGCCGCCTGATACGGAGGCCAGCTTTATTGCCTCAATCGGTACCTCGATTTGGTCGTGCACGTCGTCAGACTACGATATACTTCAGGACGATTGGCATCGAAGATATCTCTCGTCTTTGCAAGCTCTCCGACAGACCTTCCAGAACGCTGCAGATCGGACCGTCGGACGCACTCGACAGCTCATGATATGCGCTGTTAGGTGGCTTGGACAGCTTCGGTTAGCAAAGATTGCCACCTCACAGGATTCGACCGCCAGCTGCAATGTTATCGCCTTATCTGCAAGCACATTTTCTAGACTTTCTAAGCTCGGCTTCAAGCCACTTCGCTGCGTTCTGGTCAAAGACGAGCAATTCCACGATGAAGACTGTATTGATGTGCATCGGTTTCTTGAGCGTCTCCATAGAAGATATAAAACGCAGAGCGTGGAGGTCCAGGACCCATCAAACGGGAGCACGCTGTCAGTCGATTCACAAGCCATCATCGAGCGATATGAACGTGAGCACGATGCCCCGCTATCCGATGTCCGTCCAGAAACGGTGCTGAATCTTCTCGATATGAAAGATATTCTGAGCCTGGCGAAGCCACGGGCGTTGAGTCTAGAGCGCTTCCAACGTCTTTTCGACTGGGTCGCTGAGGGTACTGGTCCTGGCAAAGACCGTGATTACGCCACACCAACTTCTCGTCAGACACATCTCGCCGTTCGGCACTCGGTACAGAAGAGCTTGGCTTTTAACATCCTCGGCTTTACCGGCTCGTTCTCGGGTCCGCACGTCGATTACCTCAACGGAACATGGCTTCGCTGTGTAAGTGGCGTCAAGGCTTGGATCATTGCCGTCGATCTGACGCCACAGGACTATAAGGACTTCGCCGACCAAGGCAACTCTTGGTGTCCTGAGGGTAAGACACGCATTATCATTCTCGAAGCGGGTGATGTCTTGTGGATGCCCCCTGGCATTTTGATCATTCATAGTCCTATGACAATTGAGCATTGTCTTATGTGCGGTGGCATGATGTGGGACACGGATCAAGAGGCTGCCATCGCAGCCAATATTCGCTGGATCGATATGCATGCCAATGTAAGCAATGAAGCGCCGCCAGCAGGTATGACAGAACAAATGAATGGCATGGGCCCGCGTCAGACCAAAGTCTAGGTGGCAGGAATGGGCCACGACGTTGACCCACTCAATCCGCACGATCAGGCACGCTGTTCGACGCACACGCACACCATCACACCGGTGTAATAGTCGTGATCGTGGACAACGTCGATCTGAAGAAAGTGTAGTACTGTCTTTCATATTCGGAATATCGTGTTTAAGTCATACCCAGTTCTCGAACCCGGAACTGTCAGGCAGAAAGGGGAGACGTCTGTGGTCAATGTATCCGGAAATCAGGGCGAGAAGCCCCGCAGTTTGACTGGTCGTTTGAGAGTGCTACGTTGGCCAGCAATACTTGAACGCTATCGAGCGGCGAGTCCCATGTTCATGCGTCGAGCTTGCGATAGAAGCCATGTCGAGAGATCGGGGTCATAGCGCGCGTGGTGCTGCCCATCCGTGCGCGCGCTGTCGAGCTATTTCGTGATTCGTCCTCGTGCGGCATGCATCAAACTGCGTCATGACTGCCTGCATGCACTATGCGGGGCGCGCCGCTAGCCCTTGGATGTGGAGGCGGTATATTTCGACGCGAAGTATGATCAGACAGTGGTTTCGTTTTGCAAAACAGATTGTCTGGATCGAGTCGACCAGAACGACGGAATGTAGCAGGTGGTAAGGTCAGAAGCGTACAAGGGACATAACACAAACAAGATCTGCTCAACAAGACATTGATCGTCACGCGGAGGCACTGGCAGTACGGCGCTTCAGCATGGTTGGATATAATCCGCCAATACCTGGCAGAGTGTAGCCGCTAATGTGCATCGGCAAAGTACTCTGTGCCTGAGGCGTAGACACGGCTGCCATACATACATAAACAATCCAAATTTCCTTGATTTCCATCTTCGAAGACATTATCGGGGTCTTCTCCACGTCCCCCTCTGGTTGTCTTTCCTGCCCTTCCGTGAGTGGCCGAAACTTCTTCAAATGGACCCAGCGAGTGCTGCAGGCCTTGCAATTGGAGTGGCATCATTAGCCTTTGAAGTTTTTGATCGTTCGATCAAACGTGAGCTGCCTCTAACCGTAATTTGAAGCCGCCTCTGACCGGTGCATAGTTTTCAAATTCTTGTCTTCTGTGGTGGAGATGCCTCAAGAGTTTGAGCGATGCCGTCTCCAAATGATGATCGAATATAACCGCTTGTTGGCCTGGGGCGACGCCGTTGGCTTAGTGGATGTCCCTGATGGCGAGCATGTGGCTTTGTCCCTGGGTACAAACGCGGTCGAACTATGCATGATCCTTTCCCGAATCGGTTGGCTTCTGGAAGAATTTAAAGACATCAACGGTCGTTGGGAAAACGAAGCTCCGCAGGCTCACGCCAGCGGACACATGTGGAAAGAAGACAGAGCTCGGGAGGTGAACGTAAGGGAGCAAGTTTCTAGCTTGGCAGTTAGATACCAGAAGAACAGGGAGGGGCGAAAGCATGCCCAGAATAGGCATAATTTCGCCCGATGGCTATCGAAAACAGCCCAGGGTACGAAGGAGGTAGTTGCGCACCCTCTTCGCATTCGCTGGATGGCTGTTGATAGAGGGGCTTTTGAAGCGTTGCTAGAAGATCTACACCGGTTGATGGAGCGCCTCCACGAGTTAATGGACGACTATCGCGCCAAAAAGTTCGACGAAACGGCAGCTAAGACGTTCCGTGAGATAGTAGTCATCAGCAACACACTCAGCGAGCTCAGAAACATGCTCGATGCCGTGACAGACATGGTTGAGACCTCGGCAAGAACAGCAGGACCGAGCCCGATGCGCCATGACAGCAGCAACGAAACGCTACAAGACCTCTTACGTCTGAAGACGATCAAGTGCGTTTCGGACTCCATGTTACTGACCACCAACGATGAGTCCGAGCGGACCGTGGACGCATTCCTAGCAGATGTGGTAACTGTACCACGTTATGACGGAGCTCAGTTCAACGAGCATTTCACCCACATTCTTACGGAAAATGCGAAGGAAAGGTCCAGGCCGTACAGGCCGAGAGGAGTTTTCAAACAGGAGGGTAATGACCAACAAGTTTGGGTCGAATGGAGAGCCGCGACAAATGCCCACTATCGATCCTGTGTAGACCAGGAATCTATTGTGCGGACCGCCACATTGGCACAGATGCTTTCTGTCAATAAGCCTCGATACCTCTTCTCACCAACTTGTATTGGATACGTAGACGCCCGCCGCAGACAAAACCAGTTTGGCTGGATCTTCCGCATGCCAGAAGGCTCAGAAAGAGGGACAACACTCGAGACGCTGCACATGCTGCTTGGTCAAGCTCAACGCAAGCCCCCATTATCACAGCGAATCTCCTTGGCATGGAAGCTTGCGTCTGCGGTACTATATCTGCACACGGTGGACTGGTTGCACAAGGGCATACACAGTGCAAACATCATTTTTCCTGATGGTGTAAATGGCCTCGATGTAGAAAGCCCGATCCTGTCAGGTTTCGAATATGCCAGGCCCGAAAGCAATGAGACGACGTCCCGTGGTCTGGATCCACTTTGGGACATCTATCGGTGGCCAAGCATTCAGAACGAAACACCCAGAGAAGGGAGATTCCGGAAGACATATGATATCTACAGCCTTGGCCTCGTCTTCCTCGAAATCGCCTACTGGCAGCCTCTGTACACATTGGTGAATCTCAAGTGTTGGCCGGCCCCGCCCGCTGAGGCTGTTCGAATCCGAGGTTGGCTCTTGGAGGAAGAAGAATTTCCCCCTTTTGACTCCAACCCGCTCCGAGGACTGCGCAGTATGATCGGAGATAAGTATTGGAGAGCAACATGTCGATGTCTCTCCGCTCATGGGGCATCCGGGATGTCCATCCAAGAAAACGCGGATCAGACAGAAGGCTCTCAGACCGGTATTGAGCTTCAGGTTGCATTCACGGAGCTCGTGGTGGATGAATTGAGAGGCGTGTTGATCTGAATAGGCGAGGGTGCCGCAGGAGCAAGGATAGGCGTATCGCGTCTCCCATTAGTTGGCATCGCGCTGGGAAGAGAATGGCCCGCCCTGCGCATTGCAAAACTAATTGAGACGACAATGCCGAGCCATGGTCTGAGAGCTTGAGTCACCGCGGTCAACTGTACGATCACAATGATCATCTAGTGTGCATAATGCAGCAGGTATTGTACGACACAGTCGTGGTTTCGCCTTGCTGCTAATGCGATAGCTGTTTGCCCCTCCAAATCTTTCTTCGAGCGATCAGCGTTGCCGTTCAGCAGTATTCGCACAATATCGAGATGACCATGCGCAGCAGCCCCATGTAAAACAGTCTGGTCGTTCTCATCACTGGCATTGACGTCGGCGCCATAACGCAGGAGCAGTCTAACTGCATCTTCGAATCCATTTCGTGCTGCACATTGGAGCGCTGTTTGATCGACGGTGTTACGCGTGTCTACGAGCGCACCAGCAGCCAGGAAGTCCTCCAACATTGCTACGGACCCGCGGGTTGCAGCAAAATGTATGGCGCCGAGAGTGTTGGGGTCAACCCCATTTTCCAACAGGTCATGTACTTCCTCCGCCCTTCCCATTCGGCATGCTTCGGTCAGCCTCTCGTGTGGAGAAGGACGGTTTCTCACACAGTTGCACACCATGGTCGCGTCAGAGCTCGACATGGGAGAAAAGATGGATATTACGTCTTCGGCAGAAGGGCGGTCATCCCTGGCGGGTCGCAGCATCTTCAGACAGGTGTTGAGAAGATCGCGCTGCCAGCCGTCAGGATGAAGGCTCTGCTGGACCCATTCGTGGACTTCGTTGATATGCTGAGCGTAGGAAAGGGTCGATCGAGGTGAAGGCCTTAGGACATTCTTCAGTGACTTCATCTCGTTCTGGTGATAAAGCGCTAAAAACATCTCCAAGAACACCGCTCCAAGCGAGAAAATGTCGGCAGACCGACCGCGGGTGCTTCCACGATCGATTTCGGGCGCACAGTACTCCCGGCTTCTCGACGGACTGCGATCCTTGAATGTGGTCGGCATCGTCCTTCCGAGACCCATTTGTGATATGCCAAAATCTGCCAGAAGAACCTCTCCTCCTTTGACCAAGATGTTGGCCGGCTTGATATCCCGATGGCGTATGCCCAGGGCGTGGATGTGGCGTACCACACCCATCAAACATCCAAACCATTGAGCCAAAGGTGTCTTTCCGGGCTTGAGGTACTTGTCCAGGCTGCCATCTGCGCGATCCATGACGACAGCAAATATAGTCTCATCATCATCCGCTTCATAGAAATAAGTGTGGATGAGGCGCACAACATGGTGATGATAGGCGGAGTGGAGGATCTTGGCCTCTTGTACCAATCTCTGTCTGTTGTCTGCCAAATCGTCTGAGACTTTGAGGCTTTTCCGAACGCAAATTAAGTTTTTGAATTCATCAGATATGCCTCTGACCCTTTCGACGCTGCCAGTGATCATAGGCGAGTTTCCATCTGGTGCAAACGGAATCTGACTATCTTCTCGATAGATTCTAGGCAGGTACGGTTCAGTCTCTCTTGGTTGACAGCCGGCAGTAGCCATCTCCTGCTCTTGCAATATCGAGGAAGGGAGACCGCAGCACGCGAGTATCTTCGAATTGAAAGGGGGCGAGTCATGTTCGACGTCGTGGGAAGAGCATTCTGCAAAGAATCAAACTGTGCGGGTCACTTCGTAGCTGTCAGAACAGTACTTGAAGCTGTTTTGAAAATCGTAGATGCGCTATCTTATGATTCGTCAGACCGGTTGAGGAGATTCAAAGCATTGTGTAAGGTGAGGAAAAGCCAAGATAGGTCGTGCTAGCCTTTTCTATTGGATTCCTCTAGGCTGGTAGAAAATATGTTAGATCGTGTCCGACCAAATAGATGCAGCCCGACATCGTAAGACAAGAGTTGTGTGCCGAGGTTGGTCGAGGTTCAATGTCGGACAAACCTCGCCGCCGGCTGGAATGCTTGAAGATTCCGGGCTCTCGCGAAAGCGCCAGTCCAGATGATGTATATCGGCATTGGCGCTAAGCAAGCACAACAGCCTGGATCGCTAGGTTCGCCAAAGCTGGTGACATTCTACTCAGCTAAGCTACCACATCTGCGCGGTGGGTACTCTTACAGGATATGGTGCAATCGAAACTCCAAGTCTATCCAGCAACGGCTGCGCGAGCTCAATGTCGGCTGTGATGACAGGACCGGGTCAACAAGCAACTGTATTCAAAGACCACCTGATCACCGAATCACGACACGCGCCTCGCCACAGGCTGAAAACTCAAGCCTCCTGCCGAGCACCGTAGTGGACAGACATCGCATTAGATGTACAGGCAGATGTGGTGCACGAATGGCCTATGAAGAACACAGATCGTGTATGGCTGTCATCAATCAAGTGTGTGGTGCAAAATCCGAAGACGAACGGCAGCCAAGAACTGCCGCCAAAGAGACTACAAGATATTAGAAGTGAGTAGAAGCTCACGAATTTACGGTGTCGTGCGGAAAGGTAAGGGCAAGGCAGCGGATAAAATGAGTAGTACTCGAATTTATGTGGAACGGCCGTATCATCTGTAATTCCGACTCCCCACCCATGCTAGATGTGTCAATTTATGGTAGACAAGCTCTTTGCGTGTGCAAGGCACTACTTTAAGCTTGCTTCGCTGTTCGAGCGCTATCAACAGCTGAAACTCTAACTTAGTTCATCGCGACCCACATCAACCCTGTATTCCCAAGCTACCGAAGACCGCAACTTCAACCTCTCTACTCTGGCCTTTCGGACTCTCTCAGGGGCCTGACGCATACAGGTCATTAAGCGATAATGGCGCTGACACTGACCCTTTGGAAGCGCTCAGCTTACGGGATAGTCCGACAACGCTTGCATTTGATGAGGAGGGAGAATTCATGACCGTCTAGCATCGCCCCTAAAGGCCATTTCATGGCATCTTGCACCCATTTCAAAGCCTGGAGAGGTTCCGTATGATCAACGAGGAACTTACTTTCAGCAGCGGATACCACGCCACTGGTGTCATCAGGATCGAAAAGCTTGCCGCAGAGTTTTGCCTTTTGTCGGAAAATCCAAGAAACTCATGCCACCTCTCTGAAGTTGCGAAATATATCCGCAGCAACGCCGGTTGCAACTTATCTGGGAGTGCTCTTTCCATTCTCCTACAGTGGCTCGTGACGTAGGGAGGGACGATATAGCAAGCCCTGCCACGACTAGCCCGCCGCCCCGCACGAATGCTTGGGGTTACGCTTGTGAGGATAGCGGCCGGCTATTGCAGGTTCGCGAGGTACTGTAACCCTTTCTCGGGCGAAAAAGCAGGCTTAGCGGAGGAAATCCGCCGCGAAAATAAACCCTTTCGTCTTCGCAGGACTGTGCCCGAAAAGTTTCGGAATGACGAGAGCCGTGTCGCTGTCGGCCACGTGAACGGGATCTGCGCATCCTATCCGAGTTCGCCGGCGGTCCTCAAGGGATATTTATGCCGGCGTCCATATCTATGCGACCTCGTGAAGTTGCTCGAATCGATCATGCTATTGTTCAAGACCCATATTGGGCATCGACCTCAATCGCCGAATTCAATTCACTGCCATTTGCATCAGTCCTCGAGACCGAGAAAACTGAAAAAAAGCAGCAAACAGCCGAATATCATATCGAGATTTGGCCATACGCAATGTGCAGGCGTATAAGACTTTTGCTCGAAAGCAGTGTGCATTATCGGGAGCTTCTGCCTTGCTTTCCCCTCTTCATTTCTGAAGGCGAAGGGTAACGATGCTGCATGTGATAGGGTCGGCATTTATGGTCCGTCCAGTCCAGACAATCAGTCTGCATCGAGATGCCACAAGAGTACCGGCACAATACAGGAGATGGTGCTAAGCTTCCATTCACGAAAGCTTTGGTTCAGCCGCGTAGAGCTCGACCATGTCGTCCAAAATCTGATTGGCACTGTCGTACTTCGAGTTCCAACATTTATTGATGATTTTGTCCATGCCGATGGCTTCAGTGAAAATGATGGGATAGTCTCCAGCCCGATATTTCTCCTGAATGACATCTCCGTCCGTATGTTCGTCCAGATCTGGGAAAGGTGACTGGCTGTACCAAATATGATACAACAGAGTCCCTAAGGCGAATATGTCTGTTCTGACCGAGAACTCATCTTCACCCGCAAACGGATGACGCGACTTTGCATTCTCTTGCGACATGGTAGGTAATTCAATAGACCCGTCGAATCGATAAAGTTGCCCCTGGATATCTCCGATTCTTGCGTGCGTTTCGGCAGTGATGAAGATGTTGTTAACGGTAAGATCACAATGAATGAATCTTCGCTCGTGGAGGTGTATCAAGCCGAGAGTGATCTGCTGTGCAATTGTGTTCTTTTGATGCTCGGATAGGGTCGGAATGACGTCGCGTAGCTGTCCTCTTTCGCAAAATTCGAAGAGCAACCCATCTTCGTTGATAGACTCAAGAGCGACGAGATTTTCGTGCGGTCCGAGCCGGTGGTAGCGATCTGCTTCTTCTTGCAGGTCTTGCATTGCATCTCGGCTCTTGAAATGGGGATACTTCAGCACGGTGAGTCCTCCTTCCATGAGCCCGACAAAACTTCTACCGGAGAATGCGATACATTTCTGGACTCCTTGGGGCCGCCAGTCTTCAATTTGCAGGAAAGGCTCGCCTTGTCTTCTGGCAGAACCACCTACCGAGCCGGTCGAGAACGACATCGGGATAAGAAGGGAGGTGTTGAAAATACGGAGTGTTTGGAGCAGTCGTCGTCGTGGTGACGAGGCCGCGCGTCGGGCCGGCCCGACTCGGCTGTTCGTTGACCCACTTCACTGAAATATGTGACCTACAATGCTGCCTCAGGCCTTATTCGGATTGTTCCATCTCATGCCTATGCTCGCTAATTCATGTCTATCATAATAGATTAAAATGAAAGAAGTCGAAGAGTGTAAACAGCAAAAGACTAACCGAGATCCGACGTTTCGCACAATATTTCAATCATCCTTGACTAGCACTTCGGGCAGTCATATCGCCGGTTCGTGGAGCTAGCGGTGGTTTGTTCAGCCAAAGCCCGGCAGTCCGCGACGTTGCGGATATAAGTCGCTCGGTGCTCCACATTATGCTTAGGACACGCTTTGCATTTCGCATATGTTGTTTTCGTAATGGTAGTGTGAGAGTGTGCATATCCTGAGTCGGTAGGCATCGTGGCCAGTGCAACAAAAGACTGAATCTAGCAATTCGGAATCCAAGCTTGAATAAAGCGAATACTGGGACAAGCCAGGGAAGATATTGCAAAGTTTTCGAGAGCCCAGAGCTCACACGTTATATCGCTTCGTTGTTGCTTGGAAGTTTGAGCAGTGTTTCACAAACACCCGAAACATACACCAAACAGCGGTGTGAAGGATCGGGCCGGCCGTATACCGCTGTCCAAGAATAGTGTCGAGGTTTGTCGGTCCCCTCTCTGCAAGATCATCATCGAGTGGAATTACTTGGCTCGCAAATGGCGACGTGATGATCGAGATCTAAAACAACCATCTCGAGCGTGTATAATTTCGAGGCAGAATGTGCTAGGTGCAGAGCGTACGCGTTTGTCCCAGCCCGCAATTGCTTTCCCTAGCAGTACAATACCAACAAATACTTAACTGAATTCTAAGATGACAACTGCAACTTCTGGCCTGTTCACACAATCTAAGCACAAAGTAACGACACCGTATCTCCGCTGTGAACCACGAGTGAGAATCTATGCTGCATGGGAGCCGATTGTGCCGCACGCCTTGATCTGTGGTACATAACCCCTAGGTTTCTGGCGACAAGCTGCATCTTGATCGATAATGGCGGCCTTTCGAGCCTCCCCAAGCTCAACGATTCCTAGATTGGCAGGCTTCAAATCTCTGTGGGTCCATCCGGCATCAACAATTCCCATGCCAAGCAGCTACTTTACCACAACACTACGCCCTTCTTCTGCCGCACACTATAGTAGTGTCCTGCCATGCTCATCTTTGGGGTTGACATCGATTGTATCCGTGTCCAGCAGCAGCTTTACAACCATTTCGCGCGTCCTAAATATGCCGTGGTTTCGACAGAGAAAGGCAGAGGGATTAGGTTGCTGTTATAGCAAGATAGCCTATGGAGGAACGAGGCTTCTCATGACCTTGAAATGGCTGCAAGACTGCACGCTTATTACACCTTGAAGAGTAAGTAGCGCCCAGATCGCTCGAAGGCACCAAGTCCGCGGTCAGGTCGTGACTGGACCGTCATTCGGCTTGTTACTGTTTACCGTTCCGGCTTCCATGGCCGCCGATGCGATAATGACGACATAACATTCACGCACCTTCGTTCGACCCCAAAAACGGCTACTGGCTCGTCCATATCGACACGCTGAACGTGTTGTCGCTGCAGTCACCTGCAGTTGCGGTCTGTTAGGCATCCGAGTGCTCTTCTGCGTTGTCGCGAGTGTCCAAGGAAGCTATCAGTAAGACACTCTCCTTCCCACTCTACTACTGTTATGGGTGAATCACCATTCCAGACAGACGCGCAATGGAACAACATCCAAGCTCTTGCTCTCCGACTCCTCGCAAATCACGAAAAAGCGATCGTCTTCATCGACCTGATTGCAAAGAACGAGCTTTGTGGGAAGTGAACCGCATCGAATATTATGCCAGCCATAGCGCCACTGCCGGAGCAATTCGTTCCCGAAAAGGATGCCAAGACATTTTTCGCGACCATCGAGTGTGATCAGGCAGACCTGAAAACCGGTATGTTGATTGACATCAACAGTACCGAAGTAACGTGCGAATTCCGGCGCCAAAGGTGGCTGGAGATGAGGTTGTCTTTGATAGACTCGATGGAGGTAAGCCTCGAGCTTAGTCGCATCACCCGTATAACGTGATACGTCAGTCTCGATATCCTGGCGTATTTTACCACGGATTGAAATGCTGTCAGATCGACGCATTAAGACTCCGAGCCTCAGCATAGGGTCTTATAAGCTAATCCGATCGATGAGCAGACGCGATAGACAATATCCCACGTCGTTGCGACCTAGCCAGGCATAGTGGTATTCTGCAACCGCTTCCGGCGGGATATGCCATCCGCCAGTGAAGATTCGACTCCTGTGTCCATTACTCAGCGATATGAAGATGTAGGAATGTGTCAAGATCATGGGATTAGTCTCGTGGTATCGTACGCCAACGTTCTGGATGTAGTATCCGTCCTCGACAGGTATATATTGAAGCACAACATTGTCATTAAGCTCTGTTGGCAGCATTGAATAGGGCGCGCTAGCGTCCAAGGTCTGCTTCTGATGGAGGTAGATGCCAGCCGAGCTCCCATGACTGCCTATGATAGTGATGCCAGCTAGAGGACGATCCACTGAGAGCACCTGCATCTGCACCATCGTACAGTCATCCTTCGGAGAGTTGAAAAAGCCTACAGAATTAAGAAGCTGACCAATCGGCTTGTCCGAAAAGCACATCGCTGGGTCGCATTCCTCAGAAATGATCGATGACAGAGCCCAACCCTGTCCATCGCGTCAACACGGCTCAGACCATCTCTTTAAATGCTAGGTCCCACCTTTCCTGTCATCATGACTGAAGTGCCTCGCTCGCATATCACAGTACGATGCCACTTGCCGCATGCTGCGGAATTTAGCAAACCACCATATGAGGCAAGGTTGACTTCAATATAATCCAAATCGTCGAAAGTCTATATAACTATGCATTCCTTAAGATTTTGATTGAGATCTGTCTCATGATAAAAGAAGTCGCCGAGCCGTCGGTCTGTTGTGCCGGCATCATTAACTAGAGATTGCAGAGCGTACACAAAGACATCCATATCGATGAAGGACTGGCCGAGTAGAAAAGATCTACATCCAGGCACAATCCCAGAAACCAGGGCTTGCTTGAGCAAGCCTGACTCGCAGTAGCTTGTGCGCGACAGACTCATATTGCTATCAATCCTGTTAGGTTTATCAATGTCTCCCGGCACGCTCAAGTGGCCGCGAACTCGATGCAAAAGCTGCTTCGACACGGTGAAAGCGGCACAAGCTCTGCTGAAGAAGCTCTCATTCTGCAACAAATGAGCCCAGATAATGTCCTGGAGCTCCTTGGGTAAGTTCCAGAACCCCTACAGCAGTTCTCTGCATCGTATAACTTCCGCGAACATGGGAGACGCCTCGCAGATCAGTGATTGACTGCTTTCGCGGCAATATTCACTGATCTTCCACATTCGTTTTTGCCTCACTTCAGGAGGTACGCTGAAGCGGAGGACTAAGGTTTCGCCTAGCATATAAATACCGTAATGGAGCTCGGACAGATCGCGACTTTGCATGCTCCAACACTTTGCTGTAAGATAGTAGCAGTATAAATGCAGCAACCATATAGCCGCATCACACTTGTTGAGTAGTTTGTACGCGCTCAATGGCTTTGGGGGGTTCCCGTGAGATAGCAAGGCTAAAGCTTCTCTGACTGGGCGTGAAACGTCGCCGAAGCATATGGCGCAGTGCCAGTCTTTGACCATGACCTGCATGTTAGATATATTCAGCGCAAGAATGTGATGATCGCACAGGAGAGATCGTGTTTTCGAGTTTTATCATCCGTGCTTCAGGATGTGATTATGCCTGAGGCATACTGAGAGGGAGGAGCTCGGGGAACATTCGGGAGTGAACGGAATATGTCTGCACTATAGATACCCATGTTCCAAGATATATCATATTTGCAAGAAGAATGAATGCACACCGGAAATAGCAACTAAGTATAGAACCCTATGCTACAAAGGGCTTGCTTTAGCTACTCGTCATCATCATCATCATCATCATCACCAATGCCGTCGTTATCATCCTGTTGCACATCTCGAGCCGTTCCGAGCAGATGGAATACGCCTCTTCCATCAGCGAAACCTAGTCTACCCGATTGCGATCGCAGCGTTAAGTGACTATATTGACGGTCATCAACCTGTCTGCTCCCCTTTGCGCTATGTCGCACCATTGCTTCACGCCACCGTTCTCGCAATAAATGAGCTTTCTTCCTCCAGGCATATCACGAAAAAAGTTGCCATGGCGGACACTCGTACTTCCTGCACTGGCCCCGCTAGCTGGAACTTTGGACTGTCATTTGTGGGTTTGGTTGCGAAGGACCAGATGCAGGCCAGCGGCTAGATGCGATGCCAGGAGCCTTGGCTGACATTGGCAATGCTATTTGTGAAATACCGGATGTAGACTGATTTGAGAAATTGCTGCCTAGAGGACCAAGGACAGGTGCTTGTGACGGAAAATTGGGAGCTCTCGGATCCAGGATGTTGGTTACTTTGAGGTGGAAAAGAAGTCCTTGGGGGCCCCTACATATACCCACCTTAGATTTACGCAAACCAGCTTCGTGAAGACGACACTCTTTTGGGCCTGGCAAAGTCGAAAGGCAGTAACTTTTATGCGGCTACGTGCGAAGTGCAGAGCTCGTCCAGCCACGTAATATGCTTTACATACTCTTGTTCATGACGACACGAATGAGATCGCAGAATCATCGATGAGGTGAGATCCGCGAGCTGCCGTGTGTTCTATGGAGTGACGTAAGAAGATCCAATAGCGGGCGTTGCGTCCCATTGAAAGGCGACTTGAGTATGGTTATTCTCTTCGCACACCAGCTCGCTTGCTGCGCTCGGACGTCGCCGGTTCAGCTTCTGAGAATAGGCGTATCGTCCAATCAAACACATTATCATACTTCACGCCCTCTTTCCTAGCCAGCTCTCGAAACTTGTGTCGAAATCTCTCATAGTGTGGTCGACCTCCATTGGGGACGTCCTGCACCTCCTGCATGTATTCCGCGAATTCTGCAGGCAGCTTCTCGCAGAGCTGCTCCGGTGAGGTTGCTATCTTTTTCTCCATGACTACGCGATTTTTCTCTTCCCTCCCGTGAGATTGCAGGCCTTGCCATGGCAGTTTCCCTAGCAAAAAGAAGGCTATCATGTAACCGAGCGATTCTAAATCGTCCTTTGGAGACTGCGCTGCTAGCGGTCAGTCATATGCACTACAAATTGTGAGCACGTGAACTGACCGTGTCCCTGGTGTCCCTTGATGCTGGCGAATCTAGCAGTACCGACCAGGCGCGACCGTGGAGGAATTTCGTCCTTCGCTTTAGCGCAAGATATGGTGTACCCGTCAGCTAGTCCAAAGTCGGTGACGTATATCACGTTGCCGGTTGTACCAGTACCAAGTAAAAAGTTCTGAGGTTTGATGTCGCGGTGGACGACTGCATTGGAGTGGATTTGCTCAAGTCGGACGAGTATTTGATCTGCAATCATGAGAGTCGTCTTGAGTGAAAAGCGATGCCCGCAATATGCAAATAGATCGTCAAGACTGGGGCCGAGCAGTTCGAAAGCCATAACTCTGAAATCGTCGTGCCGGCCGAACCAGTACACCTTCGGCAACCCGACGACATCTTGGAAGGCCTCATACTTCCGGGCCTCCTCCTCCAGAAATGACCGATCGATAGAATGATGCTCTAGCTTCAGTGCCAATTCTTCTTCGTTCACTATATTCTTTGCTAATGCATGTCAGTGCGGGGTCTGTAAAGCACAAACAAAGCACACACCGAGGTAGACAACACCGAAGCCACCTTTACCGAGCCTCTCGATCAAGACATACTTCCCGTTGATCGGTCTATCGTACAGCTTCTTCGTGAAAGGATCCATAGATGTAGAGACGAAACGCCGTTCGTGCATGTTTCTGTCGCACTGGAAGATATTGAGCGCTGGGTTACGTGAAACAAGCCGCTTGCGTTAGCTCCCGGGCCGCCGAGCACTGTCCGTTCCCCATGCGACATTGCCAACGCTAGGTGGTCAAAGCAACCTGGGTGCATCTCATCCAATCCTCCGTTAGCCTTCAGCGTTACAGCAGATAATCATCCCCACGGCGGCTAGCCATCAGCGCATCTTGGTGTTGCGCTCCAGGCAACCATGAGTCACCTCGCGCCGGTGCGGAGTAACTGCGCTAAGCGAAACGTGTCAACGTGAACATGCAGCAGTTATCTCAGCACGATCCAACATCCTTGGTGAACACAAAGCCTGGCCGGCCCTGGAGCAGCTACATAGCGCCCATGTTGTCAGGGAAAGAGAAATGTCAGCGCAAACGACAACGCGATCAACCTGCTAGCAAAGAAGACGAGTCACGACTCAGGGCGAAGAGGCAGAAGAGAAGCCCCGACGGCTATCCTCCAGACGTCTGGGACAACTTATCCAAGATTACTCTCACACGCAAGGCATTGAGAGAATTCGATCGTCGTACACAGGAGAAGAGACATCCGCATACCGCAAGTGTGCAGGAGACGGCAGGACGAATACTGAGGTCAAATCCACAGCGGCTCGAACGTTTCGCCCGCCACGGTGGTCCAGATCTGAGCAAGCTGCGAGGTGTGAGTATGCAGAAATAAGCCTTCAATGAGAAGATGCTGAAACAAGCTACAGTACGCCGGTCTGCCGATCACTGAGGACGCCATGAATCAGTCGAACTCCCGGACGAACAAGAGACAGCGGGACTCCGGCCTGGCAGGCAGTAGCTTCACGGGCAAAACTGGCACGACGGGCCCGTACGACCCTCAATTTGAGCAACTACTGATCGACCATGGCGTGTACCCAGACGGATTTCGAACATTAAGCGGAGCCAGGCCGCCCAAGCCACAAAACATGGAAGACCTCTGTCGAAGATTGTCGCAACCACGACCGTCCCTCTCACCGTCACAATTCTCTGAAGGTGCCTTTGAGGATTTCCAAGACCAAAACCGTGCAGCGAGCAGCGAGCAAAATGTAATGATGAACGTGTTTCCCACAATCAGAGGCAATACCGGTACAAAATTTTATAATGAGGGAAACATGCTGTTCAGCAATCTGGTTGGGTTCGCTCCCGGTATCACCGATGCGAAACCTGATGGTTACGATGGCGCGAGACCGGCGGAGATAGACCTGGCCGTCCGCAGAACTCTAAACGGTTACATCGTCCCCTCAACCTCGGAACATCTGCCAGCGGCGCCAAATCACCTCACAGAGGTGAAAGGCCCATCTGGCCGTGCGGATGTGCTGCGACGACAGGCGACGTACGCCGGGGCAATTGGTGGTCGAGCGATGTGGGAGCTGCAGAACTACGGGAGCGAGACACCGATTTACGATCGCAATGCTTACACCCTCGTGCCAACGTACCATTCAGAAGGAGGGTTGCTAAGAGTGTACGCGACACATCCCAGGCAATCTGCGACCGGGCAGACGGAGTATCACATGACTCAGCTTCGCTCGTATGCGATGACAGATTCATCGGATACTTTCCGCCAGGGTGCCGCAGCATTCCGCAATTCTAGAGATATCAGCAAGGAACAACGTGACCGCTTCATCGCTGCCGCAAACGCTACTGCGGTGCAGAGATCGGCACCCGCTGCCACACCCTCCAGCGGTACTTCATGCGGGAGTCCTACCTCCTCAAGGATTGAGGGTGCTTCATTCGAGTCGAACACATCCACCGACGAGCCTTCTCGTGAAGTCGGGAAACCTTCGAAGCGTCAACGCAAACGGTCTGCGGCAAAGTCAAATGCCGCCGGAAGCGTTCAGGGTGGCAGGAGGCAGTCACTATAGCAAAGATCGCAAGGTGGCTCTTCATCTACCAGTCTGTCACTGTCTATCAACGCTGACGGTGGTGAGCTCTGGCAGGGATAATTTTTCAAGCGCCTTCGGGGGGGCGATTATGAGTTAAAGTGCATGATTCATGGGAGACCGCAAGTTATGAAAGCTCAGTGGGTACCGGGACGACTTTGTCCGCAGGTGCTCGATCAGAAAGCAAAGGTATGGATGCAATCGTCGCTGAGAGGTCAATCGCTTAAAGTCTTTGCGCGTGGAGTGTGGATTACGTTGGGGAAGCAAGCTTAGTATGCGCTCAAGTTTGGGATCTGTGTAATTCTTTATTCAGCTACGATATTGACTTTACCCAGCACTCTGCAGGAATTTCTCGTGCTGCGACTGCTCAGGATGAGTTGCGACACTGGTATCTCTCTTCCGTGCCTTGGAAGACGAGGTAAACCAGATCGAGCCCAAAGTCAGCCGGTGAGCGTGGCCCCTGACGAGGCCAGGCTACGAAATTTGGCCCACGTGACATCGCTTCAGTGGAGGTGTGTCAATTTGGGCGTTGTCACATCAGCTTCCGAACGACGTTCGCCGGAGCAATGGCGCTTGAGCCCACCGCACCTGCATAGTTCTTGGCTTGGTCTTGTGCGAGACGTTCTGCGTCGCTTGACGATATAACTCAGATGAACTCGTCTTCCAGACACGATTTCGCCAAGCAGCACGCATAGGATACTTTCTCACCAGACCGCCGGCCACAACCCGAGTCCGTCTCCTATGTGGTGGTGACGGTAACTTACCCTATGATGCTCGCCAGCGTTCTAAATATGCCTCGCCGGCGATGACGACTATAGATACTGTGGTCGGATGGACATACAAGATCCTCTGTCCTTTGCATCGATGTCGCCGTTAAAGGAGTGCTCCCTTGTGCATCGTTCGCCTGCTCGGTCTCGTAAGTGACCATATTTGCTTTGCTCCTTACGTTTCGTACACGATCTTGGGGAGGGGGAAGGCGGTCCTCATTGAGTACATCATGCTGTAACTTGTCATCGTGTTTCGTCCTTCCTTGCATGGCAGACAAGCACATTTGTCGCAGGACGTTAGGCGATTAGTGCTTTGGGGCTATTTCTGTGCACTGTACTATACATGGACCGTATATGACATGCTAAGAAAAGATTCTCAGCGGCTGGTTTGCTGTTCATGCGTATGTCTGTCCTTGACCACCCTACGGCCCAAAATGTGATTATCAGGAGGGCCTGCTGTGCAAACAGCGGATGCTCTAAAACACGATTGCTTGCTTGTCTCCTCGTTCACGTTGCATAGCACTACGCTGGATGTAGCGGTCGAAGTTAGCATCATGGTGTTCTGATTGAGTCTGCGCCTGTCGAATCCGCGGCCCATAACTCAAGCTCTACCACGCTACAGCAATGATATTTTTAGACTCAAGGATCGATCTATTAAAAGGTACACAAAAAGCGGCCGAGACCGAGGCGGACCGTGCGCGAAAGTGGCCGGAGTCACAACGGCAGGGTAACATTTCCACGATGTAAATATTCGTTCAATACTTTTCCAGTTGTAACTTACGGACTTTGTCAGAGCCATGATAGGCACTTAGGATGATGGAAGAATACGCCATTATTCATGAATGCATCGGTAGACTCGCACAACAGCTGGCACGCCTGCCAGAAAATCTGCGTGTCGAGATGATCAACATCGTGGACCGACTGAAGCAACTAGAGATCGTCATGCATGGTGACAGAACGTCGCCGGCGGAGCGGTCTTTACATCATGCAGCGCAAGCTGATATTCAAGAACGTACGCATGTCAACGTGGCGCCACCCGCCTTCCCTGTTTCTCAGTCCCCGCCATCCGAGACCGCCGGGCCGCGGGCGACTCGGACTGACCCGTCTCGTACCCGCACGGTACGTATCGAGAATCATGCTGAGACTGCACTGGGGCATCTCCCTGCGCCTATCGCCCGGACTTCTCCAGCGACTTACAGCCGGTCGACTGACTCAGATAGTCGCCCCGAGCTCACCACAGACGCTGGGATTAGACCACAGCAGCAAAGTCGCAGTCAACGTCCGTGCTTACCGGAACATGGGAAGAATGGATCGAGAAAACAGAGAGCCCCCTTTCGCAGAGGGAAAAAGCGGAAATACCAGCAACATGCACATGAGCGTGACGTGACCAATTTCCTTGCTGATGTAGTAGATGCATTTGGCACGGACAGCGACTCTGAGATTCTGCAGGAGACTTTCGAACATCTGACGGCTCATGCAATCGGGACTGAAGCTGCACGGCTTCCATCTTCATGGATAATGGATAGACTGCTAACGAACAACCCTACTGACTCAATCAAACTCATAGAAGCGCTGCCGAGCCTGGTCAGAGAAATCGATGACAACATCATCTCTCAGCGGTTGTCGCGGGTATGGAAGAGGATGATGTTGGCTCAATTCTATTCGACTTACAGATTGGCACAAACTCATCCTCCGATGTTCTTGCAGTGGACGGAGGACACCGCGAGGGCAAATTCTATCGATTTGACCCCGACGTCTGGCCGGCTGGAGACGCAGGTGAAGAGTCGTTTCATCGATATTATCTTTTGGCAGTCGAGGAGAAGTCGCGCGCAGGCTGCCAACAAAGTCAACGATTGGCAGCATAGCGGACGGCCGTGGGCCGAACTCATTCAGCGCTTTGGGTGCGGCAGCCTGTTGCTCGTTCCTGACCAGTTGACGGACGAAAGGTGATCATTTAGGCTGAGGTAACCCGTAATATGTTTCATGCGCTGACGTCCACCACGCCTAGTGTACGCTACCTGTCGCACGACAAGTTCGCTCTTCTTCTGGATGCCATTCAGGAAAGAGACGAATCGTTCGCCGATGCTTTGACGAAAGCAAACGACAAGATGATGGCCGTGCTATCCAACTTTCGGGTTCGACAAGGTTCTTCTGAGACCCCTTCAGGACGGCAAATCTTTCAGCCCGCGTCAGCAGCCTTGCCTGACCCCACGCACCCTTCCCTTGGGGAACATACCTGCGACACCTTGAATCCCCAGGTACTCACTGTGGATCAGCTCAACAGCTCGCCTGCTATGACGAACAACGAACAGGTTACTACATATCACAACGGATTCGGCCAACCTCCGCCTAGAGGTACTGTCGTTCGAGACCTCAGTGACACAATACCACATGCAGAAGAAGCGGGAACGTCGGACGTGGCACGGAGCACTGGTCTTGGCGACGGGTGTCGACAAACCGAATGCACACTGAGCTCTGAAGACTTGTCATCAGACGTCCTTGATCAACTATTTCAAGGCCTCAACAGTAGACCCCAAGTAGATGCGGACGACTGTCGCCTGAAATTTCACATTTGGCCGAGCATCAGACTTGTCGACGCTGCACTTGATGACGATACCGCCACCTGGTCGCCACAACTCTGTTCGACCTTCTTAAACAATGCTCGCTATCAAGTGTTGCCTTATTTCGCAAGCTACCATTGGCAGCTAGCCGTCTTCGACCAGATGAATCACGTTATCGCTCGTTACGACAGTGCCTGGCAAGATGGCTATGACCGCTTCACGTTCTCCATGCTGCAAAAGTGGCTTCGCTCGAGTGGAGGAAATCCATTCGACCGTCCATACGAGTACAATATGGTTAAGGTCAGTCGTTTCCGCCATCCGTGTCCACTGACCTGACCGCATGTCGTAGAGCACCCCCGTACCTGACAATGCTCACAACACCGGGATCGTGGTCTGGTGGGTGGCCAAGCAACTGATGTGCGGGAAAGACCTGAGTGAGCCTCCAGCAGATTGGGAGCATGAGAGATCATCAGCTATGCAATCACTTCGTCAGGACGACGACTTCGATCTCTTTATAGACTATTGATTCTTTCCATACGTTTTCAGAATAACAAGGACAATCAAGAGACCCGCTGCCGTAAATCAGAGACTCATCCATATGCATCTACCATGCCATCATTTAGAATCGAATCCTCGTAAAAGATGCGGATGCTACCCACTCCATTGTGGACGTCTGGCGATGCCCTGGTCGGACATCAACTCCAGCCAGCAGCGCCGTTAGCGTGTGCTCCACTACTCTCCTGACTGGCAGGCGTCCAATACCTGTACACACGGACTGGTCGATATTGGGTGATCCCGATTGGCGCAGTTGTCGATTTCCATTTGATGTCGATTAACGGACGATGTCAGAAACATATAAAGCAGTGATAGTGACTGAAAATTTTCATTCACTCCTTCCTCCGTCCTATTTGACCTGACATCCAGAGATGCTAGCAGAAAGCGAGATCAACACGTCCCCGGAGCTTGAAGACAGTCTCAAGGCCTCGTCGGACCAGGCAGCATCCCTTCGACACCCTTTCACTGTACCCACGCATCTTACCATGCAGTACGGAGTTTGTATCAGCCGGAGAGACGTCTGGGATATCTACTCTGCAATCTCCTACACCCACAATCAAGGCACAGAGTGGTTTGGCCGCACCATCACAAGTGGGCGAAGGCAGACTGGTCTCGGGACTGCACATCCTCTGTACACTATCAAACAAGAAGAGATCAATAACAATGCCGCCCTTCAGCCGCTCCCGAAGCCACTGCATCCGAATGTGACGGTGTTGCATCATGTGTTCTGCAATAACGCGACAATTTCTTTCGTGTACGAGGAAATGGACATGTCCCTGTCGCAGGTTTTGTCGCATCCTCTCGAGCCTTCGATCTCGTATCCAGCACAGAATCACCGATTGATTGGGGCGATTTTCAAGCAGGTATGTGCTTCCTATCAGTCCAGATCGAAGCTGATATCCAAGCTCAGATCCTGTGCGGTGTCGAGTACGTGCACCAACGACTTCACGTCGCGCACGGCGGCCTTTGTTTGTCTAATGTCCTGATGAACCGCAATGGCATTATTAAGCTGGGTTCGTTCGATCGAGTGATGAATAGAAACCATCAATCACTGATCTGACCCAGCGAATGTTGGTCACTCTATTCTTCGTCCGGCAACCGACTATCAGAACGACTTTCAGATGTTATGTACATTATTCGAAGAGGTCGTCTCCTGGCTAGGAGAGGATCCCCGCAACGCATTATATGAGAGGATCTGGGCGCTTTTGAGCGAGGGTTCTCTGACGCAAGTCCAGCAGGTATGGCGTACAATCTACTTCACCAATAACAACGCTAATGGCAGGATAGCAGAGCTTCGTACAAAACGCGCAGTACGCTTCTCTGGCGTCCGTTGCCATTCTCACCGTTGGCCAAACTTGTAGCCAAATAAAGCTTGTTAATAACGGTAGAAGAATCGATAAACAGTAAATAATGGGGCGTTGATACTACATGTTGCTATGCGCTTCTCCTAGATGTCAAGCAGCCAATGAATTACTAGGTCATACGAGTTCTCAGGCGATGTAATTCCTTACGGTAAGTGAATTTCCACAAGGGTGAGTAGGTCTAGAAGGCAGGGGCGGTTTGTAGAGTGTCACAGCTCTAATGAGGCCGACAGGGCGGAGATGACTACAGAGCATGGTTGACCACAGGGTCGGAGAAACCATAGAGTCCGAAAGACCATAGAGTAGAGCTCACTATAAGGTCCGACAGACCATAGGGTCGAGCTGAGCATAGGGTAGAGCTGAGCATAGGGTCCGACAGACCATAGGGTAAAGCGGACCATAGGGTAAAGCGGACCATAGGGTAAAGCGGATCATAGGGTAGAGCTGACCATAGAGCAAGCAATGCCATATGGTAGACACGACCATAGGGTAGATCGATCCATACGCGGTGACCCCGAGGTGACAATGACCGCGAGGTGACAAGGACCCGGAGGTGACAATGAGCCGGAGGTGACAACAACCCCGAGGTGACAACGACCCCGAGGGGGTGGTGACCCCGAGGTGGCAATGACCGCGAGGTGACAACAACCCCGAGGTGACAACGACCCTGAGGTGACAAGGACCGCGAGGTGACAACGACCCCGAGGTGACAACGACCCCGAGGTGACAAGGACCGCGAGGTGACAACGACCCGGAGGTGACAACAACCCCGAGGTGACAAGGACCCGGAGGTAGAAGAGGAACGTTCGGCAGAGTTGACCACCCGGTGGATCGACCTTCAAGGACTGCTTGACCAAAAGGTAGCATAGATCAGAAAGCCCGGTAGGGAAGTCTCAGATAGTGCATGGAGTCATGCTACTGTTGCAGCCATGATACCTATTGCTTCGAAGCCCCAGCAGATGGACTGACGTACTATACAATGGCTGAAACCCGCAGAGCCGTCTGCTAGATCCCGTCAGCGTCTGAAAATCTCTCGATACCAAGGGGCAAGCAAGACCAAAGATATCTTCTTCCTGTCGGCCCGAATCAGCACCACTCTCGCTCTCGCTATGCCGACAGTTTCTCTGTTCGCAAGGAGACAACCTTGGTGCGGGTGAGAGTTTAGGATGTATAATCGTGTTGACATAAAACTGTGCAATGCGCTTAATTGTGCTCTGAACCAATCCTCTTTCAATCCCTGCTTGTCTCGAGGACTGTGGCACATACCTACAGTCTTCGGTCAGGTAGACCACAAGGCGCGTCAGCGCGAAAGTTGGTGAAGCCCGGTTGCACTGTAAGAGCAGTCTCTGCATCTACCAGACCAAGTGTTGGTTAGCGAGAGGCCGGCAACGTGACCACAAAGTGTTTGTGGGAGTTGGTGTACGGGCGTCCGCACGATGCAAGATCGTGAACAGAATACTTGCGTTGAAAATGCCACGACAGTTGATGCACCTGCGATCTGCGATTGGGTTGTAAAAGATCAAAACCTGCGATCATGGAACGTGGTAGGCTATGGCGACAGCCAAAGGTAGGCGCGGACAATCGTTATTCATTTTACATACTGTTTCAAGCCTCGCTTCGCAACTACCGACCATTGCGCAGACTCCGACGTTATTGCTTTCGCTAGCCACAGGCTGTATGACGGCATGGGACTCACAGTGCGTTGGTTCTGCCTCGCATGTATGCACGACCGTGTACTGCCGATGAATTAACACCGAGATTGATCCAGCTTTCGGGATCCAGGAATGGTTCTCATTGCCCGTTGGCCAAGGGACCTAAAAAAGACTGTCTTCCAGAGTGCGTATGATCAGATGCTACACCTGTAGACGGCTTCCGAGAATGAAGTCGGGACCGAGTAGAATCGCTTCTTCCTTGACGTGAGCTCAGTAGGACAGGCGCCACATCCCTCATGGCCGCCTGCGCTTCGGACCACATGAAGAGAACGCCGTGAGTCTCAGGGTGTCTTTCTCCATCGTAGATCGCGTATAGTCGTGGGAAGACGACGAATACGATTTGCTCTCGGTTATCGCCAGCTTGTTGTGCTTGCTCATCAATCACTAGGCGGCCCGCCTTGTATGTCAAGCTGTTCCAGGACCACTCAGTGAATTGCACTATTTCGAATGATGGTGCGACAGCCTCTGTAAAGCAACATATCTCACGCCAAGCTTCACTTGCCTCGTCCGCCAAATTTGTAAGTGAGTTTTGTAGCCGAGCGTTCTCATCCGACGAGAGCAAAGAACTAACTTCCATCATCAACCTGTTACACACTGTCTCGACCCTCTTAGAGGCGGCATCTTCTTGTTCGTTCGGAAGCGATGCTTGCAGGAGTGCGCGCAATGTGGACTCTCTCTCCGGATCCGCATTCGCTTGCCGAAGTAGCATATCACGGATGCCGCTATTCTCGGGCAGGAGGTATGTCGGCTGGAATAAGCTGTCCGTGAAGCCACGTGCCAGGCTGCCCAAGATTGCAACGCAACGCATATGCTTTCCGGCGTCAGTGTTGCTTTTGGGCATCGGCATCGATCTGCACCAGTCATTCGTTTGTCCGAATCGATTCCAGAATTTCTAGTCAGGTGACAATGTGTCAGTTGAGAAGAGCTAACGCGACAGCAGCATTGGAATACCTTTATGTCATCCATACCAGTATCTTGGAAGAAAGTTGAATGAATTAGAATGCAAGCTCGCCGCCATATATTGTCGAGCTCTTGAAACCTGTTCGAACAATCAGTAACAGAATTAACAGGATAGAATATCCCAGTATGAGAGTGTTGTCTCACGGTGCGAGATCTTCTGATAGTGGAACGAAGAGTCTTGTTGTTTCCTGCAGCTGCTGTGTGGCAGCATCTGCCTCTTTTCTTGCCCTTGTATGAATCTTCTGTAACTCGCTGTGCTCATGTTCGACCTCCTTGGTCCTAGACTCACACGAAGCGAGAGTGCTCTTTAGAACCGAAATGTCCTGTCGTGCAGTCTCGATTGCTTTAACCAGACCTTGTATCTGCTTTTGCCTGTTTTCCACGTCCAGATTCTGCTTTCCTTCATTCTCCTTCAGTGTCTGCACTTCGCTTGCCCAGCTGGCTTTTTCGTTCTTGAGAGATCGTGTCACCTCATCCATCGAGGCAAGTTCATTGCGTTGAAGTGCGCAGCTTTCAATTAATTGCTGCTTTTCCAGCATCCATGTATCTCTATCGCTATTGTAGTCGTGCAGGGCCTGCTGACGAGTTTTCTCGTGAGTCCTTGACGATTCGTCATTCTGCTTGATCTGGTCTTCCAAAGACGGGATTCTCTCGACGTTGTCTAGGATAGCCCTTATACCCTGGTCGCCCGACAGAACCGTGGCCGAGTCTAGTAGATCATGGAAAGCTTGTCTCGTTTTCGCCGATACTACTCGAATTCCCATGTCTCGATCTTCAGCAGTAACACGACCGGCCGCCTCAGAGCTCGTTTCATTTGGGTGCGCCATGATGGATGATGGCATAAGATCTTTCTAGCTCAAACCTGAAGCGTGGGCCGCAGCACTTATCTCTGTACAGCGGCAGACTCTGCTATCGCGACGACCGATGACTGCCGTAGGCATTATGCTGTGTCCTGGGCTGCGCCGCCGCTGCACGTCCTTCAGGATATCCAGATTGAACCAAGTGTGGTGTGGCGATATCATAGTTGGTTGGTTGACCGCGCACACCGGTGAACCGCTCTAGATGATGTAAGAGACGCCGGACGGCAGCTACGGTCGACTCTGCGAGTTACTGCTTGGTTAGCGACATACCTGCATGAACGTGCTGCGAGGCATCGATGCACTTGAACGTGTCGTAGGATGATTTGCGGGACGTGGCCTTCGCCCCTCCCGCCTGCAGCGGCTCGGTGATAGACTCGAATGAAGCAGTGATTTGCATCTGCGATACGATCCCGCATGCTCTAATAAGTCCTCATGCTATCCGGAACCCGTCAGAGTACCTTGCAGTTACCGACACTTTCCATAGATGCGGCGGAGTAGGTCAACGCAGGGTGGCAGGCTACGAGGAATAGTCCAGTAATCCTAGAACTGGGGACACATTTCTACTCACGTTGTTGGAGCCATCAGCTGTATCGTTGCGGGCGGCTAAGCACAGACATCGATCATTCCGCGGACAATCGGCTGCGGGGCGGCCCGTTCTATCGATTCGTGTGGGGAGGTAGTTAATCTGCTTGGCAGGCAGCAGGCCCTTCAAATAGCTGGCCACAACTCTGATATGTCGTGATTTCCTTCGACTTCCAAAGCTACTGCTGCTTCTGAACAGTGACTCTGGGTACAAGTGGATAACAAAGATGACCCTTGCGGCGTACGGAGACGATATAAAGACTTTCTCGGAGTAAGTAGAGCCATTCCACATCGGAGCTGCGAACTAACAGCCTGAGATCTCTGTCATCAATCCCGATATTGCTTGTCACGAAAGGAGCGGAAGACGAATCGAAATCTTTCTTCGTGCATTCTCATCTTGCTGTTCTGGGATCCAGAAGGCTAGCAGGTAACATACAGGGTGGGTTCAAGGAATCGGCCGAACGTAGGATCAATCTTGATGAGGAACCTCAGCTGGTTGCATTTTTCTTGGAATATCTGTATCAGCACCATACTTCCAGCAAAACTTCGATCCAGCATGAATCGGACTATGTCTTACTTGCGAGACTCTACACTATGGGTGATCGCATCCAAGCCGAAGCATTTCAAGCACACGTTCTCAGACGCTTTTTGAGCAGCTTCAAACAATCCACAAGCATTTCCGACTGGATTGTCTGTGATCTGCTTGAGATCGTATGCGACGAGCTTCCAGATAGGATAACTATCGACCCTCTCCGGGACCACGTATACTGGTATGTCGCAAGCCGTCTTGATCAGCTGCAGCATTTCCCGCGGTTTTCGACTGTCTTATCTAGCCGTCCATGCTTAGGCAAAGATCTGTGTTTGCGAGCAGGTAACGGCACATCGACACAACCTCACAAACCATCAGATCCACTCCCTCAGAGGTTCAAGGTTGAGGATGCTGCAGGCGCAACGATATTGTAGCATGTTCGTTCTACGATGTCGCTCCGGGATTTTTCGGAAACCTGAGAATGATTGGGCCACCCTCTCTACCATAACATGCCGGCACCTTCTGCGGTCTAACAACCAGCTGCAGAGGACTTCGCCCAGCACTTGCAGCGTAATCGAGCTTTGGTTCCGGACAAGCAAGCGACCAAAGCGGAAGACCATGGTTAAGACGAAGACGACGACGACGACGACGACGACTTGATATTTAGCGTCTCACGAGGTCGACATGAGGGCTGGGCTTGAATTAAATTGCTCCATATCCGAACGACTGTGAAATGGTTCTCTTTCCTAGCTCTATCAACCACCTCTGACGCGTACACGTAATCAAATCTTGCTCCCAAATGTGAAGCGACAACGAAGCCTGCTTGTTGGCTGGCCGACATGAAACTTCCGTAAAGACAATGATGAGGTACAAAAGTGCCCCCCCCCCGCTCAAGCACAAGTACCCGTGAACGAACAAGGTTTGACAGACAGGCCAGTCGCCTGGACTGTCTGGCGGAAAGGCCACATCAAGCTTCGCATCGAGTCTTTCCACCTGCTTGTCTTGCTCTCCACCACCGTCGACCACCTCCGCGTCGCCACCTACACCAGCCGATGCATGTCAAACGCCGAGCCGTCCGTGCTAAGGAGATGAACGAGAACCCCAACAGGATCTCCACATCATCTTCAAAGGTGTCATCATAATCGCGCTGGTTACTGTCTTGGGCACGGAGAAGAGATTCTGGTGTGGCTTGCCGATCACAAAAGCACATCATCGACAGCAATTCTGCCGCCGTGCTCCGCCTCTGCCGTATGTGATAACACCATTGATTGGTCGAAAGTAAAGAGGCGTGCATTCCAGAGAAGGTTTCAAGTCGCAAGATCAGCCAACTGACATGTGCGAATACGAGCTGGTTGCAATATTTCGAGTGTGTTCTGCGGTTTGCCATTCTACTCTGATGCCTGATAGGCAGGTCTGCACCGCCACGTGCCACGTGACTGCGAGTAATGCGCCCGTATGTTCAACACGAAAAGGCGCTGGAGCAGTACCGCTATGACACCGCTGTGTGGGGCGCATCCATTCTGTAACGGAGAGTTCACGATACTATGCGGCAAGGGTGCTGAAGTATGGAGGCCGTGACTTGTTCGTTGCTGTTCCGCCACTGTACAGTGGCTGTATAGTGGAGGTAATCCCGTGCTTGCGTGACTGCGTTCGGTGGTAGGTACTAAGTCATCGAAGCCGGGCCACGGTATAATCGATGGTCACAGCATGAGCTTTTCCACACCGTGTAGAGGGTGCAATCAAATATGGAAGCTACTGCAGACGCACCTCGCTTGCTGCGTCGAGATTGCCAGGGAACGACGTGCCACAGCAGGCAAGCCTTTCTTGACAAACCCGAGCTCAATTCATTCTGGTCGCAACCTCCCCCTTCGCACAGAATATCTGCTTGGTCGTGAAGGTGTCTACATACATAAAGGTATGTTCACGAGCCAAAAGCACAAGTACACCACACGCGCGTGAGCTTCAATCGCCCCACGACCCTGGCGGAGGAAGGAATGAATAACTCCAGACGCCAGCGCATCTGACCAGACTTGGATGGCGTTCCTTATGGCGATGTGGCTAAAGATCCGCCAGATCGCATTGTCCATTTACTGGGGCTCGTTGGGAGTGAGAGACATCCTTAACCATCGCTGTTCACTAACTCTTTGATTGACGCCTCGTTGTGTGCAAAAAGACCGTCGTGCTTCTTATAGTGTGCTTGTACTACCTGATGATAGGCGAAAAGCGGCTGCACCACTTTCTCTGTATTCCAGATCACAATTTGTGCATCCTTGGCTACGTCCGATGCATCCATTTTTTGTCGGCTTTGCGCGCTGCGCCGTAGACAAAACGATATAGCATTCCGAAAGCATCTGGAACTCGTTGCACGATGGATTGTGTTGAGCAACTGCGTCTCATCGAGAAGCTGCGACGTGTGAACACTATCGAGGAGATTGAATTGTAGCTTCTCATGTTGAACTCGAACAGATATTGGACAACTTAGCGCAAGCTCAGCGAGCACCAAAGCCAGTTGCAAGTGCCGCCCGCCCATGCCCTCCGAAGGACACGAATGATCGTCGTGATGGAGGCGCTGCTCTTGATATACCGGTGTCCTGTGTCCGTTTGCAAGCTGAGCATGGCGAATCCCACAGGTGCAGATGTTTTTGATCATAGGCAAGCCCCACAAGAGAGTGGTCCAAGATGCCACGCATAAAGCAGCCCTTGCGCAATCGAGCCGTAATCGATTTCTGCATTCTATCTGTTTTGTAGTAGAAATCTTTGGTAGCATAGATAGTATTGTTTTGAGCGCTTCCGTAATAACACCGCTTACAACTGGCCATTCGCTAGATATGCCGCATAGATCAAAGCCACGGGCAAAGGCCGTATTGTCGTCCAAGTCCAAGTGATAGTTGATTGCAACATGTTGTCCGACCATATCATTTCGGAAGGCTTGGAAATGTAGAAAATGTAGCCTTAAGTCGTCTTTGCTGTCTAAGAGCAACTCGTATGGCTTCTCAGGCATCTCCTGGGGATCCAGTAGAAGCGCCCAAGTGGTAGACCGCGGCGGATTGAGGAGCCAAAGCCTTGTTGCTCGGTCATGGATCAAGTCAAAACGCTTTATCTCTTCCGCTGGTACCTTTGAGGCATAGTCGGCGCTATCACGAGCTTCCCAGTATCCAGTGTGAGACTGATATTCTAGTTCGTCCACAAGGTGTTTCAATCTAGTGATCTTCTCTTCAAGTAACCCTCTCTTCCAAAGTGCCACAGCTACCCTCTCTAAGAGGTCATTGTCGTGCCAAGGACATGACAGGCCATTTGCATTTGCGGGTGCATCCAGGTTGTCCAGATAAGATCGCCATGCTCGGTTACCTCCATCTAAGTCAGCGTGAGGTTTTTTGACAACATCACGAACCTCCCGTGCGACGGCAGCTACAGTTCCACGGATGGACGTGATCCGCTGTCTGCGTCGGATGCCCCAGAGACGGTCCAAGCGTTCAAGGGATGGTGTCGTCCTTGGGCTATTTTCGTCGTCAATCACAAGCCAATGACGGTCCCAGATGCGCAGGCGCCATTCAAGACTCTCAAGGCGTGCATAAAATGTGCTGAGGATGAATACGTATCGCTTCGCAGTATTAGAGCTTCCCACACCTTTCTCCAGCGTTCCCACAAGAAACCCGAGCGCCGCTATTGCAAAGCCGACGGCCCCTGTGACTTCGAGCCCAGTGATCATTTTATCTGAACTGACGACAGTAAAGATGAGAAACTGCCATCGGAAAGGAGCAGAGGCGACACGTTGCCATGGCAGTAGCACTAGGAGCCGAAGCGAGCCTTGCTGCACGATGTCGCCCGTAAAGCTCTCATGGCCCCGCACTGCCAAGCTTGTCCTTCGGAATGTAAGAGCAACAGACAGTCGCTTCACAATTTTCGCAGAGATGCGAAGCGTATACCGTCTTTAACATGTCCTCGCAGCGCTCTTTACAGCACACTCTGGAGACCTTATCTTTGCATCTCGACCATGTTCTGATCAGACACCGCTCTGCTCTGACAGAAGCCCGGTTAACGTGGCGGTTCAGCGACCTCGCGCTCAACTCAAAGTTCTGGAAAGTAGGGAAAGATGATCTTCTACCTCTAGAAAGCATTCTAGAGGCAGGCTTCGAGGAGCTCATATTGCAGAGGGTGAGAGAGGTGGAGGAGCAACTGCTCAGTATTGAATCCAAGCTGTCCATTGTCAGCACATTGACTAACATTGGACACCAAGAGTGAGTTTCCCCATTGGTATTTGTTTCGCCATGGGCTTAACTGGCGATCAGCCTTGACGAAGCTGTTGTTTTCCTTGAACATCTTGTGCACAACACTACAGAGTTGCTCGACACCATGCTAGACGTAGCAGAAACCCACGCCACTCAGATGATGTCGGATATAGGAACAAGCCGGTCTGCTGCAGGAGTCGGAACCAGCGCTCTAATCTCAGGGGCAGGGCGGCAAAAGATTGTGATTGAAGGTAGCACACTCTTCATGATCGGCACAACTGCTGCCGCTCAATCAGCAAAGTCGCTCTACGGGACTGTGAAACAGTACGGCGGTCATACCCAAACCCTCTCTAGACTTCTGAATACGCTCCGAGACCTGATCAAGATCTTGGATTCATTAGTAGTAGCTACTGATGCGGATGAGTCAGTCCTAGCGCTTCTCCAAGGTCCGATTGAAAGGTGCAGCCAACTGTGCCACGATTTTGAGTCAGCGATAGGAGTTTCCGTTCGGAAATCAAAAACACGCTTTCAAAATTGGGCAAGGATGGGTTCCATGGGGCCCAACGTGAATGAATTCCTTGAAACTCTTACAGAGTATAAGTCAATCATCTTGGTAGGATTGGGCACTATCGCTATGTAGGTCGCTAATACGTGCTATCCGTAGATTTTGCTGACCCTTCCCACCAGGAATAAATCGGCGGTCTCTCAGCATTTCCTTGCGGAGTACAATGAAATGGTTCAGGACATGAAGCATAGCTTGGAATTACAGCTACACCGGATCAACGAGAAGATCATGCAACTTGATACACACCAGGTTGACAAGCCAGGAGTGAACATGGACATGAACGATGCGACCGAAGTTCCCAAAACATGCCTCAGCATCTGCGAAGACACGACATCATTTCGTCAATCTTCGTCCCATCAAGCATCCTCTCTACTGCAAGGACCACACCGTACCGCGATTCGAGAAGGGTCTTCCGAAGCGCAGTTGCGGACGAATCAAGCTCTGACTGAAAGTCGGAACCACTTCGCACATACCATTGACTTTATCTCAGAACACTTGGAGACTTCGGTGCAGAATGCTAGTTCTAACAGCGATGAAGCGATATCACAATTGCAATCAGATATTGGCATCTCAGAGCAATGTCTGAAAATTTGCAATATGGCTAGCGAGGCCTCACTTCAAAAGTCAAATTTGGTTGTAGATGTGTCCGTCAGCGATCACACCAACCTGTTGATAGTAACGAGCTTGGCTGAGTTGTGTGATTTTGGAAAAGCTGGCTCCCAAAGCAATGCAGCGCAGCTGATCGGATCAATGACGGTAGAGTCTTTACAAGCAATAGTACAGCAGCAGTAGCTTTAGATTTGAGGCGCTGACTAGCCGGAACACTGAGAAGACGTGCGGTAAATACACAATGTTATTGCGATACCATCAACTCCATTATGAGATACAGTGCCAACACCAACCGTGTAGGTGTATCAGCGTCCGGTACATTGGATCGTGAGAACGATCGAGTATGGGAATGAGGTGGGAACAGCGGTGAACTGGAGCACGGAACGCTGTCCCGTACACATAAGGTCTCCGGACGACACCTCTACTATCTCATTGTGTACAACTGTTCTTGATCTTGCTTTGAACCATAAGCATATTTGGCGTGCAACGTACTGCCTCACGAGCCACATACTTGCATGAACGGGCTGCACGACATTTAGGCCCGTTTACCTTCTTGGGCTGGCTCGATTAGCGGATAGGGGTGGCACGGTGCGAACCCTACCAATGATGTGCGAACACTTTCGTGTGCATTCCTGCATAATACACATAGACTAACAGGCTCAAGGCTTAGTAGCTATTTCCTATAACGGTTGTATATGTTACTGGCGCCTCCTATAGACATCCTGAGGCACGACGGTTCTTATAGTAGCATGGGGTAACGGCGCATTAGCTTACGATTTGTTAAAGGATTGTAAAAGCGTCCAGAGATACGCTCCAGTCTCAGTCTATGCGCTAACTATAGACGATGTACAAGAGCAAATCAATATCGTTAGATTTCGATCGAGAAGGTTCGCGCTGCCTCTAAGCCGCTGTCATTGATAGGAGGTCAGCGTAGCTTAGAAGACCCTCAACGAGCGAGAAAATAATTCTTAGTCCGGAACAGGTGACAAAAGAAGTGCTCCAGCAGTTCTTTCGCCGAGACTACATTGTTGATCGTATAGAGGCAGAAGAGTTTAATCTTATTAGTCCTGGTGGCTTGCTAATTGACCCTTTTGTATAGCCAATGACTTTGGGAGGTGGTACGATCGTTGACTTGGTGCTCCGGACAGGGGCTTACGGCTGGAGGTCCGAGGGCCGCTATGGGAATAACCTACCACGAAGTCGACCATAGGTGCACTCGGAAGCAGCGGGAAATCCCTCCGTACACGGCGCAGAAGACCGCAGACGTCAAGAGGAACACGACGCCCGTTACAGAGCTCGACTCGTGCAACTATAGGGAGAGGCGATCCAGCAGATCCGACACGTGGCTCACAATCTTGCTGCAAGTGCTCGCCAACGTGAGGTAGACGCCGGAGCCCGCAAGCAGGATGCATAAGCTAGAGAGTACAATGCGCAACAACGTGAACAGGCCGTAGAGCGGCGAGAACCAGCGGTCACTGTGCGAGAGCAAGGGGTATACCCACGAGAAACATCTAATCAATTGCATCGAGAGGAGCGCAAAGCCGGGTAGTCGTGTACCTCCAGCCAAATCTGCGACATGAGACGTCGTAGGTGTCTTTCCGTGCTTGCATGCAGAGCTCCTCTCCGCTCTTGTCGTAGGGTATAGGAGCACATCTGACCTTGAATTGGGTTCAGCGCGAAGGGTTCAGCGCGAAGGGCTCAGCGCGAATGGTCTAGGGCTGTTGAACAGTGCGGTAGCTCACAAGTAAACTTGTCCTGCGACCTCCTAATATATGCTTCTACGCCAAGTGAGCTGCAGAAGGCCAAATGAATGGCGGAATTATACATGTTTCAGGCGACTGATGCGCTAGCGACATTGCAATCGGATGCCGTGCTCCCTCAGCCCGTGATTCTTGAGATGCTGGACGTCACTCAACGTCACGTCTAGCTTGCGACACTTCGGATGCGGACAACAGATCTTCTCACGCTCGTCAATAGCGTCGAGATGTTTCTTCGCGTGCTTCCACAGAGCCTGTTGACGGTTGAAATTATGCGTACGGTCTGCTAGAATAAGTCGCTTGTCTCCGAGGCAGAAGAGGCATTGAAATGGGAGACATTGAAGAGGAAATGAATCCATGTCCGCGACTTTGTCAGGCTTGCTTGATGAGGCCCTAGGGCTCAATTCGCGTGCCAGTATGGTCTCGGGACCTCGGCGGTGCTGAGACAGTTCGACCCCGGCGACAGAGATCTGCCATGGCTTGGACGGCACTCGATCGATCTGCTCGTGAAGTTGGGGACGACAGGTCACCTACCGTGGCCAGCGCTACCAAGGTCGCTCTTTCGGGAACGGAGAGGTTGCACACTCTTTGTTTGGGTCGTGCCGAGTCGGATGAGCCCCCGTTAGTAAGCTGCATCTTAATCAGCTCTGTGTCTTTGTGGGCAAAGAAGTCTCGCCGCTGCTGCATCAGCAGCCGGGATCGGTGGAATTGCTTCCTCGCCCGGTATTGGCGTTGGGTTTGGGTATGTTGAGCGACCAGGCTATCAGAAGACGGAGCGGCTGAGATGGCGCCATATTGGTCTCGCAGAGTTTGCGCAAGGCGGCAACATTCGGTTTCGAGAGCGGAAACGTCCGGGAGGGTCGCTATCTGCTGAAGGGTTTCAGGCGCAAGCGGGAGGTTGCAGTCGGGATCGATATCGGCTGTAGCATACGTGATAAACGGTCGTAGGGCAGGACATCGCGAGGTAAGTGAAGTACCGTTAACATTCCCTTACCCCCCACAGAAATCATGTCGATGTGGTATATCTCACGGTAGTCCCAGTTCTACTTGAGCTTCCAGAAGTAGATCTCTGATCGCATTTGCTTGCTCCTCTGCTCGTGCAAGTGCTGCCACGTCTTCACTGTCAACGGGTTCTGCGTAGTATTCATAATCATCCCAAGATCCCTGAAGGACAGTCAGCGACCTTGAGACGTCACCACGGCCAGGACGTATTGTGTCTTTGTCCTGTAGGAGCAGCCTAACGATGCCATCGTGGCGTCGCATACACCCAAGCTGCAGTGCAGTCATTCCGTCCCCAGTCATGGCAGTAGTGTCTGCGTTGCGCTGCAGGAGTAGCTTCACTGCGTTCTCACACCCACCTTCCGATGCTGTATGTAAGGCAGTCCAATCAGAGCCAGCTCGATAATTAATGTCAGCACCCCGGTCGAGCAAAAGATTGACAAGGTTCTCGTTCCCATGTTTGCAAGCGGCGCTCAGTGGACTATCATCATACCCCACTGAAACGTCTGCGTCTGCTCCTGCTTCAAGAAGTCTGCGGGCAATTGCATCGTGGTTCCATACGCACGCAGCCTGAAGCGGTTGCTGAACCACTCCTTGATTCACGTTCACAGTGGCGCCCTGATTGAGCAGCACATTGACGATATGCAGATGGCCCAGTTGACACGCCACGCACAGCGGTGTGCTCTCACCGAGGCCCGAGCCAATATCTACATCTGCGCCTCTACTCAACAGCAGCTTCACAATCTGCAACGAGCCACTCCATACCGCGCAGTGTAGCGCCGAATGCGATCGTCCAGGCATGAAGAGGAGCCGAACCTCAGCGGTCTTTCGACAATCGACTTCTCCGCTCAGGAGGAGCACCGCAGTTTGTGGAAGTCCAAGAAGACACGCCAGATGTAAAGTAGGAACAGTCTGATTCCATAATATTGAGTGAAGCAGACTATCGGGCGAGTGATCAAGACCTCTGAAGGCCTTCAAGGATGAGAGGTGCTTAGCAATTGCTCTGTTCTCCTGTAGAACGCGAACCTGGAGTCTGCTGATGGTACCTTCATATCCAACTTGATTCTCTGCGGCTCGCTGGTGATATACCCCAAATCGCATAGCGTATGCACATAGCGGGTAGTCATCATCGCGAAGCGCAGACTGACACTTTGCCTGATCGAAGTAAAACAGAAGGTATCCAAAGCAGGATTGAGCAAGGAAGGCTTGTGCTGTGCCTTCAGCTACAGCATATGCTTTGGCTTTACCTTTGCCGATACGATCGGATACCAGATACTCCCGGACGGAGGCATGTGCGAGCCTAATCTTGCAACCTTTTCTGGCGACATGGAATGACCTCAGGTATAGCCTCTCCATAGTCGAGGTCGACGACGGGATTGCTGACATCCTGTTGCAGTCCGTGCAATCCATTGCTCCAAGATCAAACGTAGTCTCAGCGTCATGCTTGGGACACCTGTCGACGTGCACTAGACCACAGAGAACGTCCAATATCTCTTCAGGTGGACTACTCTCCGCAGTATCCATAGAATAATCAGATGCCCGAATCAATGTCGCCGCTGCTAATTCGCGAAGTGTCAACGGTCTCTCTGAGAAGGCCAGCCACTGGAGCAATGTGAGTGCCTCCTCTGCGTACAAACTGCCAATCTCGACCAGCATCCGTTCGTAGGTGTCGTCTAGGGTGGCTGGTAGAGACTGCAGTGTCGCCTTAATATATCGCGGCTTTGTAGATTTGAGTCTCTTGAGTTCCTGCAGCTGGCAGGACGCCCACCTAAATCTGTATCTCAAGCAGGCATTAGAGGAGAAAGTGAAGGCATAAGGATACCAAAAACTCACATCCCGTCCGCCTTCATAGCGATAGTCTCTTCGATCAGAGCCTTGGTCTTTTGATCAAGGTTCGATAGACGATGATCGCGTGTCATCTGCGTTGCCACATGTCGTCGAATGTCCTCGTTCACAGGATGTGTTCCGACAGCCATCGACTCGATCCCCAGTGCTGCCATAGATTGGCGTATGTTCGGCGAGTCGCGGCTCGTTATAAAGATCTTCACATGGGGTGCTTTCTGCGACAGTCTTGTCAGGCATTCTAACATAATAAGCCGGACGTCATTATCTTGGGGACATTCATCGAGCGCGTCGATTAGCAGGAATACCGTACTGTAGGATTGGAAGGACGAGAGCAACATGTCTTCCAATTGTTCAAGCCCAAGTGTGCTCTGTCCGTGCTTGTCGTATGCTTGTTGCAGCATTGACAAAGCTGGCTCACTCTCACCCAGCTGCACGATCAATGAACGAAACAGGTCCTCCGGCTGCTGTTTTTGCTTCTCCGCGAAGGAAAAGTAGAAGACGGCATATATAGCATCGGGCTGACCTTTGCAGTGCGCTTTGACGGCCTCGATAGCGGTAGAGCAAAGGATGGTCTTGCCACACCCTGCTCTCCCGTGCAACCATAAATGACGGATCGAAGCAGCCTTCCAGTTTTGGAACTGAGCAGAACGAGTGAGCCAGGTCCCGGTTTGGGGCTCATGCAGCCGGCGCGCTGACTGGTGACTTGTCCATGGGTTCGGCGGCGAGAGCCAAGATTCGATCTTTCGCAATCGCGCTCGCTTCTGTGTGGCTTGATGCTGGTCTTCGTTGATTGCCGCTAGTAGACGCCGTCTCGCTCCTTCAGCCCTTTCACCATAATTCGCACCGGGCCTGACCCCACATATCCCGTACAGGGCATACGACATGTCTTCCTCACGAGTAGTACTCCTGCCTTTCATCCATGTCAACTTCTGTTCTGCACTGTACTCAACATCTATTCGGAAGTCGTGCAGCGCGGCTTCCGGGATTCCAGTGGTCTTAGAAATATCACGTTCGAGGCTCGGTCCAGCGAGAGTCTCGTCGCCACTGAGTGAGGATGTTCCCTTATGCCCGATCACTTGCCATGAGCTTGTCACGAAAATGACCAGACGTGGAGCCAGCAGCTCCTGCAGAGTCCAGCCTCTTTTGAACCACTCGCTCTGCCCGAAGATCTCCGTTTTTTCTTGCCCATTGACATCTGCGAGGAGCGCGATGCACAGTTCGGCCTCTCGATACCAATCGAACATCAGATTGACCGCTTCAGAAAGCTCTGCAGCACTCTCTTTATTGATACAGCAAGTATCAACCCATAGCCACTCCACCGAAGGAATGTGTTTTCTGACAAATTCTGCAAACTCCTCAACTTTCCTGTATCCGCTCTTCTCTTTATTCCGCCCATCCTGGATATCTTGTAGTGAAACTTCGCATCCTTTCACCCACCGATGCGACGCAACGACATATTTCGGTGCTTCATTGATGCCAAAGTCCCTGCATTCGAGGTTTTCAACACGTAAGAGGCGCATAGCGCGCCTAGTGGTTCATGGGGATGAGAGACCGGAGTGAGGTTGACAACTACGGCGGCGGGATACCAGACGCAATGAATAGAGATAGGACATCTCAGCGGCGTGGACTCAGCGGCAAGGCTGAGAACTCTATGTCACTTTCGTCACGGTACATTATTCAGCCAAGCGATAGTACCACAATGCAAGCGCCCGACGTGGTGAACGCTGATTGGCTCTGCGGAGAGACGCCAGTGCCCGACCGTGCTGTCGACCATGGCCGCCTCAAACCTCATTTTACTTATGCTCGCCACCATGAAAGATATTGGCCCGGACTTGCTCTGGTCTAAATCTGAGCCATTAGGTGCAGCATTATGCATGAGAAGTCGGCCTCGTGTCGTGACGATCGGTGACCGGTATATGCTATTCGATGCAGGCTTTCCTGTGCCGCCGCTGCACGAAGTCGGATATGAGGAACGACTAGGGTGCTCCGGTGACCAGTCCGACCGAGTGCATACTCGAAGTCACATAGGCGCGATCAAAGACTGAGTGAGATTGTATCGCCAAGTATATGAGTGAAGAGAGCCTGGCGGCTGGACTCAGCATCTATATATAAGGATGTACCTCAAGAAAATACCTGCCGCATCAGTGCCCTGACTAATACTGCCTGCTAAAATGTCCTGATCTCGAGACGCAGAGTGCCGGAGGTAGGCAAGCATTTTCGAAGGTATCAAGAAACTGGACGTGGCAGAATTGGGCCAGTTTAGTATTGCAGCAGATGCGTGAGTCTTTTTCTCCAGCACGACCGAATCAAATTTGCTAGCGCTTCAGCTTAGGCAAACGTCATCGATAAGTTAGTATCGTCACGTATGATCTGGATCTCTGAGTTAACGTTAGACAGAATGTGGTGTGGCAACATCATCACTGGTTGGCTAGCTGTGAAGTCCCTGCTTCACAAGCCACATAAGTTGCTCGCATGAACGGGCTGCACGACATTCAGGCTCGTTCACCTTCTTGGGCCGGCTCGATCAGCGGAATGTGTGGCACGGTGCGAACCCTGCCAATGGTGTGCGAACACGTTCGCCCGCATTCCTGCATAACGCGTATAGACCAAAAGGCTCAAGTATTAGTGGCTATTCCCTAGTATGATTGTACATGTCATTGGGGCACGCTCTGTCGTCCACAGATATCCTTAGGCACAAAGGTTCTTTAAGAGCGTTGCGCAGCAGGGCGTTAGCTTCCGATTTGTCAAAATGTAGTGCAAGCACCCATAAGCTTGCTCCAGTCTCAATCCAAGCGCTGACTATGTACGATATACCAGAGCAAATCATTGTCATTAGATTCCGATCGAGAAAGTTCGCACTGCCTCTAAGCCGCTGTCAATCATGGGAGGTCAGCGTAGCTCAGAAGATCCTCAGCGAATGAGAAGTTAATCACTAGTTCCGAACAGGTAACGAAAGAAGTGCTACATCATTTCTTTCGCCAAGACTGCGTTGTGGTAGATCGCATAGACGCAGAAGAATTTGATCTCGTTGGTCCCGATGGCTTGATAATCGATCCTTTGGTGTGGCCAGTTGCTTTGGGAGGTGGTGCGATTGTTGACTTGGTGCTGTGGACAAGGACTGACGCTAGAGGGCCCGAGGACCGCCATAGAAATGACCTGCAACAAGCTCGACCACACGTGCACTCGGAAGCAAGGGGTGGTCCCACGGCGCATAGCGCGGAAGAGCTCGGGCGTCAAGAGGAACTGGACGCCGGTCACAGAGCTGAGTTCGTGCAATTACAGCGAGAGGCGATTCAACAGATCCAGCATGTGGCTCACAATCTTGCTGCAAGTGTTGGCCAACGCGAGATAGACGCCGGAGCCCGGGAGTTAGATGCACGAACGAGAGAATTCAATGCGCAACAACGTGAACAAGCTATGGAGCGGCGAGAAGCAATGGTTACTGTGCGAGAGCAGGGGGTATCCTCGCGAGAAGCGTCTGATCAATTGCATCGGGAGGAGCGCAAAGCCGGGCGATCGTGTCCCTCTAGTCAAACCTGCGACATAAGACGTCGAAGGTGTCTTTCCGTGTTTGCATGCAGAGCTCCTTTCCGCCCTTGTCGTAGGGCATAGGAACGCATCTGACCCGAATTTGGCGTCAGTGCGATGACTTTGGCATGAGTGGTGTAGGGCTGTTGAACAGTGCGGAAGCTTCCAAAACTACTCGTCCTGTGACACTCTCATGCCTGCTTCTATGCCAAGTGGGCCGCCGAACGGCAAGTGAAGGCGCAGACGTACATAACGGCTGAATCGTACATATTTCAGGCGACGGCTGCCCTAGCGACATTGCAGCCGGATGCCGTGCTCCCTCAGCCCGTGATTCTTGAGATGCTGAATGTCATGTAAAGCCACGTCCAGCTTGCGACACTTCGGATGCGGGCAGAAAACCTTCTCGCGCTCGTCAATAGCGTCGAGATGCTTCCTCGCGTGCTTCCATAGAGCCTGTTGACGGTTGAAGCTATGCGTGCGGTCTGCCAAAATGAGTCGCTCGTCTCCGAGGCAGAACAAGCATTGAAACGGGAGACATTGTAGAGGGAACTGATCGGTGTGCGGGACTTTGTCATGGTTGCTTGATGAGATATTGGGAGTCATGTCGCGTGCCGGTATGGTCTCTTGGCCTCGGCGGCACTGTGGCAGTTCGACTCGGCGACAGAGATTTGCCATGGCCTGAACGGCACTCAATCGATCTGCGCGTGAAGTTGGGGACGACAGGTGACCAACATTGGCCAGCGTCACCAGGGTCGCTCTTTCGGGAATGGAGAGATTGCAGACCTTTTGTTTTGGTGGTGTCGAGTCGGTCAGCTCTCCGCTACTGAGCTGCATCTTGATCAGCTCTGTGTCTTTTTGGGCGAAGAAGTCTCGTCGCTGCCGGATCAGTAGTCGGGAACGATGGTACTGCTTCCTCGCCCGGTACTGGCGCTGGGCTTGGGTATGTTGAGTGGCCAGGCTATCAGAAGATGGAGCACCTGAAACAGCGCCGTATCGGTCTCGCAGAGCTTGCGCGAGGCGGCAACATTCGGCTTCGAGAGCGGCAACGTCCGGAAGGCTTGCAATCTGCTGAAGGGTTTCGGGTGCAAGCGGGATATTACAGTCAGGATCAATATCGGCTGCAGCGTGGTTCAGCTTCTGCATGAGAGTGTCCTCCGTCGGTCGACCGCGAACGAGGCTAGCGACATCCAGGGAGATATGCTGATCCTGATAGTTGTTTCGATAGGTGCGACTGTCAAGGTGGCCTGCGACTTGATTGCGCACTTCTTCAGACCCAGCACCTGTATAGGATCAGCGATGAAGGGACTGTATTCGCAATCGATGAGCATACCGTCCACGGCGTTGAGAACCAGTCGACGAAGCCAATACCATGTGACTGGCTCGCGATAACCCATCTTCTCTCCTAGGCTCCTCAACCGCTTCGACGCCACACTACTGGGCAATTCGACTTCCGTCGCCCCTCCGTCTGAGGTGCGCAGGATGGGCTTGTCAAGAATGTCGTCGCGCCAATGAAGCGTAATCTTTTTTTGCTCAGCGGGAAGGGTGACGTCGAAAATGCTCTGTGCATGATGGAAAGCCGGAAGTCGGAAAGCTTCGTCGTGAAGGGCGAGCGAGACTAAGTGGGCGACGGGACAGGTGAGGACGTCCGGCTGGTCGAACCAGGTGAAGGTCTTTCTAGACGGGCTCAATCAGTATGGCTATATGGGAGGCATTGCATGAGCGTGGTACGAACTGTTGCGGTCGACGATTCCCGCCCTTGAAGTACTTAAATGTGGGCCGTACCGCGAAGCGGGTTTGTCCACGGTCGTCCTCCGTGAGGATGAGGGCCACATCGCCGTATCGGAGCTTCGCAGCAAGACTTTCTTCCTTGTCCACACTCGCCGCCTTGGCCCTGCGTCTCTTTCCCGACTGAGTTGTAGAGCTAGGTCGTAGACCACTATAAGCATGGATGATCATGAGGAAGCCCTGCTGCACACGCTGTCGCTCATCGGGGTACAGCGTCCAGTCGGAGGAGTAGAGGAAGTGAAGCATGTTGACGAAATCCGCACCGGAAGGGACAGGTTTCGGGCGGTGAGATGTCTTCGTTTTACCCTCTGCGTAGTACTGGATAAACTGAGGCCAGATAAGTCAGTCCAAGCACGGCGCAGCATTTTGAATGGGAGAAATCCCACGGCGTTCACATCCGATACCACCACATCATCCAGGAGGGCACCGGTGGCTTGTTTGTACAGCATCTTCAACACACGGAAGTACTGCTTGAGGGTCGGTCCCTGCTGTGCTGACCGTTCTGCATTGACAATGACCCATTGAAAGAACGCTTTGAGCTGAGGTGGACCGGCAGCACATAGGGCCTCGTCAGGGTCGCCCAGTCGCGCGGCAGAGCAGAATCTGTCCAGCCAAAGCTGTCAGCTCTGTGCAACACACGCAATGCGAGATTGGGTGGCCAAGAGGACACTTACGACGACCATCTGTTTCGCATGTGCCGGATGCTGTCTTCTGTGGTATTGGCGTATGGTTCGTGATGACGGCCACGGAGGGTGAAGTCTTCAATGATGGCGCGCCAATCTGCGCCGTCCTCGCGTGCCTTCGCCATATCGACGTGACATGACAGGCGAGAGATGGATACGGAGGTTATATACGTGCACGAAATGACCACGAGTGAGAGTGATTGACACCTGGCCCGTCTGCGCCGAGAGAACTGCAACGCCGCATCGGCGCATGCGCCCCCACGGTTCAGGTTGGCGCTAGTGCTGTGAAACGAGTGCTGCATTCGCGGCAGCTTTACACGAGGCTGCGCGAGTTGTGCAAGTTATGCAGGGACTTCTGTTGCCCAAACGGGGCGCAGATGTTGCCCGTTCGGGCAGCAGAAGGCCCGTCAGTCAGTCTTTGGCCGTTATTATACAAAACTAAGATTCTATCCTTTCGAATAGAGAAACTCTTGGCATACTAGTATAAAGCCTTAGGTAACGAGATAGGAAGACCCTACGTAATTTAACTATTAGTAAAAGCTTATACGACCTCTAAAATATATATATAGGCTTCTAGATACAGCGTAGTAGGGGTCGAATAGCAGACCGTTAATTAGCCGCATTAGCTTAATAATCGATTGTATAACTATTAGGCTATACTTTATATGACGCTATATATAAGATAGAGATTAGTAAGTAGAGAGCGGTACGGCTCGATTAGGTTCTATACAAAACTATAGTATAGATATTGCTATCTAGATTTCTAAAAAGTAGCTCGCAATATAGGGTAGCTGGCAATATAGAGGGGGATATTATCTAGGCCTATATGTTTAGCTTCGCTACGGTAAAGTACTTATTTATCTAGTAGAACATAAGATAATAGCCGTAATAGGAAAGAACGTTAACAACGTTCGCTTCCTCTCGGATAACGTAGGCGAGCTACTAGTTAATTACCTAGTGTATCCTATAGGCGTGCTCTAGTCTATAGCTTAGTAGGAAGATATTACGCTATCTGTTCCTCCCTTCTTATAGGTCGATGCGGACGGCTTAAAGTAGCCGGCTAAACGGTTCGGCGGGATCCTTAAGGCCGCGTATAGAAGGGCAGGAGTATCGAAGATTAGTACTAGTATCTAGCGGTAGATAAGTTCCGCCATTATTAATACGTACTTTAATTATTTAGACCGGGTATGTTTTGCCGTCGCCTAGGATGCTAAGGTCGCAAGCGACGATATTAATAAGGAGGGCGTCGATAGCCTCGCCGCTACTCTAGTATCTATATCGAACTACTTACTTCGTACGCACCGTTAAGCTTACGCAAACGTTAGTCCGTTTGCTAACGTATAGGACAGAAAACTTATAAAGAGTTAACGCGCCTTGGAAGCTTAGGCAAGCTTTTTTAGCTTAGGCGGTACTATAGAAGATCTAACTAAAGCGCAAAGTCGGGTAGTACTAGGAAAGCGAAGCTTGCCCGATCTAGCGGGAGAATATAAGGCGGCGCGGAAGATTCTCAACACGGGTCGCGGTCGTAATAAGCGTTATTAGACCGGAGCGATACTCCTTAAGTAGGCTTATAGGCTATACAAAAACGTCGGCTTATAGTAGAGGTTCACCACCGCCCGATCCAGCGTCATGCCTTGCGACTTGTGGATCGTGATCGCCCACGCCGGTAGCAATGGGATCTGCGTCCGCGCGATCACGCTGAATGGCTTGGGATCTCGGAGCTCGCTATCCTGACACACCGGGAAGACCGTCTCCTTCACCCCGTTCTCGAACTGCACGATGGGCAGGTCGAGCTTGCCTTCTTGCTGCATGACCCATTGCACGATCTGTCCCTCTTCGAAGTGTCCGAACTTACCCGATTCCGTCAGCTTCGCCCGCCGCTTCGCCATGGCCTGGCCGCACTGGACGTATCCGATGATCCGCCCTTGCGTCGCGTTGACGAGCCCACGGGGTGCGTCGATGTTGGCCACGAGAATGACGGGCATGTTCCACTTCGTGCTGAGCAATGGTGGGAAGCGATGGTCTTGGCAGCCGACGAGTGTCCCGTCGCCGACGGGTTTGGCCTTGGATGACAGGTGCGGATGATGTTCCTGGATGTACACGTGATCGAGGCAGCGATACCCGTGCTCTTGGCCGCGTAGTAGCTGGAAGCCCGCATGATTCTTTCGATCCACCTCCTTTCGAACGGGCGACAGTTCAATCGCTGGTCCGGACCCAAGATCACGATCCGCGAGGAGCGCCAGCTGGGCCGTGTCCAGCCTCCTTCCCACCCGAAGCGTGTTCAGCAGCCGGATGAATGCGGGATCATTCTGCCGGTGGGTCTGGCGGAGCGAGACGTGCGTGAAAGCGCAGTCCTGCCAGCTATCGCTACAGAACGCCCATTGCTGCGCGACCGCCCAACGGCGATCACACCCGGGACAGGCCAGCGCCGGAATGTCCTCCAGCACCGCGAACACGCGGTCGGTGGGTTGGATCGGTACGGTTGACCAATGGCCCGCGACTGCCCCATCACGTCACAGTCCGAGCAGATCTCCTTGATCACGGACTCCACTCCACAGTACAAGCATGTTTGAAACGCCTTGACGGGCGGCAGCTGGTAGAAGTCGCCGGTGACGACGACTTGCATCCCTCCAAACGCCTCCTGATCTCGGCGTCGTGCCGCTCGACACGCCTGGTCGAGACGCGCGAATGAGTGCGCCTCGAGCATGCTGATCTCGTCGATGATGAGCACCTGTGTCCCCCGCATCCGCCTACGTCGCTCGAGGGTCATCGCCAACTCACGAATCGACTTTATCGTCATTTCATCACCATGGGCGTCCAGCCGGCATACGTGAAGTAGGTGCTTCCTCCCACGTTCAATGCAGAGATGCCGGTGGGCGCGACGACCTCGACTCTGACGCGGAGCTTCCGGAGGGCCTGCACGACTGCTCGTAAGACGGTCGATTTGCCGGTGCCGGCTCCTCCCGTATAGAACACATTCTCTCCGCCAAGAATCAGTCGGACGAGTTGTAGCTGTTCATCGCACAGATGCGGACTCGTGGCCTGGATGACTTCGTCGACATCGGCCGGTGGAAGCTGCCCCAGATCGATATGCACGTGCTGTTCTCTCTCCTGATTCTCGATCTCTCCACGGCGCGTGGTCCGGCTGGGGTCCTCGATCACGATCTCGATCTCTTCATATGATGGAGGAGAGGCAGGAGCGCCGTAGAATTCGGCGTGAAGGCGTTGTCTCCGCGCCTCCGCTTCTTTCTGACGTGCCCGTCGTCGACGCTCAACATCTGCCCGCGCCTTTGCGCCCGAACTGCCTTATGTCGCTGGTCGCCCTCTTTTCATCGACGAGCATGGAAACATAGCTGCGCTCCCAGAAACGCTACGCGTTCCAGGGGAGCAACAATTGTACGGGCGGAAGTCTGTGCAAGGAGCGGAAACGCTGACGCGGGGTCCAACGTGGAACGCGGCGCGTTCCGCTGCGGAATACTTGAGTAGGGTGCATATTCCGAAAGGCTGAGACTATTCTGATTCATGTCTCTGTCAAAACGAGGACTGTTCATTACGGGCGAAAGTCTTGTCGCGTAATGAGGCCGCAGGGACCACGACATACATTCGGGCCAAACTGTTCTACCTTTCAAATGTCCCAAGCTTGACTTGTCCTCCTCGCCTGCTCAATCGCCTAAAAATTGGTCAATTGTACGACGAGACATACTTCGCTTCCACCCTCCACTGAAGGTAAGAGATTTATCTTGGCGATCCTTGATTAGAGGCGGCTCCTCATGTGGTGATGTATGTATGGTCTGCATGACTTCTGATTTGGTGTAGCCTCCCCTGAGCAGTAATATATCGGCCCAATTTTTGCTGAGGGTGTACTCTGGTTTTACGGATATGTTAGGAAGAGGAATAGTGAAGGCAGTTGTCGTGAAGCCAGCGGGTGAGGAGAATATTGGCGGGCGGGACCCAACCGTGGACATCGGCGAGCTGTAGTCCACTCCAGAATAAGGCGTGTTCCAAAATTCTGGAGGATTTGATTGGCCGTCGCTTACCTATCAAATAAGCATGTATCCCTCTCGTGTCAAACCACGATCCACAACGCGTCCGGTTATGGTTCCAGGACGCGTCGGGCACGACGACTTTTCGCTCATCTTTGGTGCCTGCATCTGTTGTTAGACATGACGAACCGGCTTACACTCTACAATCTCCCGCGCTGCTTCTAGAATCGAATCGGAATTACTGACAGTACATTTGGAACAAGCCTGCGAGCGCCTCGTCGCTGGATAGCCCTCCACTTTCGTCCAGCATCATGAGCAACCAATCCCTTCCGACTACGTCCAGGCTGCGCATAGGCGATCTCGAGAAGTTTTTAGGCTTCAAGTGGGAGCGAACTATATCTCGAGCCAAAGACCGTCAGAAGTATCCCGTCATCAAGGACTTGAACGATGAGCTGAAGTCGGTCACTGAACACTATTCAACCTTGACTCGGGCGGAGCTACTCAACTGCACTGAGTTTGTCGAAAAGTCGAACGCTATCTTCGACGCTATTGGTCCGAGGCTGTGGCCAGACGAAGGACGCAGTGATCTGGTGCGAAGCCAGTGGCTTGCCACAGCTGCTGTCGATAATTTAGGCGGCCAATATCCTGAAGACCTGTACTTTGCTCACCCAGACCACAACCAAAGGTAATCATGTTGGTCCTGACAGTAGTGGGGTGTCGCTGACCTCTCATAGATTACGGACATGTTTCTGCCAGTGGGTACTTGCCAAGTGCATCCAGTACACAAGAAATCACAGGATAAGCACTCATACACGGAGCACCTCCGTATCAATAGATCGGAACCCGTCGGAAGGTTCAGTCCAGGACTTCAGCTATGGCCGTCACGAGGTAGATGTGAATCAGGACGAAAAGCAGTTCTTCGACCACTGCCACAACGATCTGGACGGAGAAGCGGGCAACGAAGTCAATCAGGACGAAAAGCCGTTCTTCGACCACTGCCACAACGATCTGGACGGAGAAGCGGGCAACGAAGTGAATCAGGACGAAAAGCCGTTCTTCGACCACTGCCACAACGATCTGGACGGAGAAGCGGGCAACGAAGTGAATCAGGACGAA